TCAACCTATCAAATATGACCTACATTAAATTTAATCTAAGCGAAGAAGCAAAAATTAAAAAATTATTTTCTATAAATGGGTCATTTTTTATCTTTTTTCCATAAAAGAGGTTGGTTTGGTTGATTTTGTTTTACAGTATATGAATCTCAATGGGTTATTTAATGCCTACAAAATTTTTATTGCTGGCAATTTTTTTTTTTTTTTTTTTTTCAGAAATGTATTGCTGGTAATATTTTTTTTTTTTTACAAAGTATTTCTGGTATTAAAACCTATTTTTACACAAGTTTATCATCTTACCCAGGACACAGACGTGGTTTATCATCATACCCAGGATGGTAAAGGAGGTTGTATTTTGCTTTTAAATCTAAATAAATCGTTCACTTGTCAGTAATTTACAATCTCCTGATGAGATGCATTTGATATGCATTGAAACACAACTGCAATTGTGTAGCGATTTTGACCTGTTTTTTGATGTAATACCCTAAAACAAATAATGGAATTGTACTCTATTCATTCTCATCTTACCTGGAGCCATATATATATATATATATATATATATATATATATATATATATATATATATAAATATTTTTAAAAAACAAGGATCATAACATTCATCGAAAGTGATTGGTAGGTTAATGCATCTTTAATATTTTGTTAGCGAAGGCATTTTGCCATTTTATATCATTAACTTTACTAATTTACTTTATGTATGAATGATACATTGCTATATATATATATATATATATATATATATATATATATATATGTATGTGTGTGATTGTGTGTGTGTGTATATATTTCATAGTAAAAAAAGAAAGAACAGTAAGATATATAACCTGATGTTCTTGTTGATAATTTTATTTTTACAAAAAAGTGCTCAATGTAAATTTACAGAGCATAAATATTATAAATTAACTGATTTAAAAATATGGTTCCATTGCTACACAGGAATTACCATGTTTCATAAACAGAAACTAACAACTTCAAATCCAATTATATATTTACATTAAAAGCACTAGTTCATAAAGATTCTTTCAAAAAGGGGTGTTTGGATTAGAATACATTGTATTGAACTACAATTTTACAATATTATTTTTACTTTTAATTACTAATAGACTATATTTCATTTTAAAACAAATAAATGTAATAGAATTACTTAAATTATTTAAAAATTATTATTAAATATCAAATATAAGTATGTATATTACAGCTCTTTTTTTTTTAAATACTATTTAAGGAAAATTTTAGATGATGTCGACAAAGAATAGCTATTTCATTTCTTTGATTCAGTAAATTTTTATTTTTTAGAAATCTAGTAATATATAGTTTGTCATGTATGCACAAAGGACATGGGTCATTTAATGGCCTACATATTCTAGCTTCTCTTATTAATCTCCATTTACTGCATTTTATTGGTTTCCTTTAAGTGCCAGAAATATTTCGATAGGGATGTCTGATTTCGGTACTTATTTACCCTAAATGAACTTTGATGTTGATTGAATCTTTTCTTGAACTCATGGCTTCTGGATCCAATATAGACTTTTATGTTGTCCGGATCCTCAATAGATGTAAAAGTCTATATCAGATGCAAATAAAGTTTCAGAAAATCATATTTTATTTTTGGAAGATTTTTTTTAAAACATAATTATATTGCAATGACAGACAACTAAAGAAGGGTGCTAATCATTTATTTTTAGCCAAAAATGTGAATCGATTCCAATCAACATAATTTCTGTTTGAAATACACTACAGGGTATTTTGCTTACTGGAAATAGTAAATTTAATCCTTTAGCTTTCAATTAAAGTTAAATAAAGGTTTCAAGAAAGATTTTTACTTTTTAAAATTCATTTTAAACCTTACATATCGTGAATTAGTGGAGGTAACTAAAGTTTCTCAGATTCACCACTTGTCACAGCTCAATAACTCTGTTGAATTCATTAGTATATATCACACCTATATACACCACATAAGGATCACTAGTCAGATGCCAAAGAAATTTAAAATTTTAAATGTGTTATAACTTGATAACATTAAACTTAGATTGTTTGAATTTTATATTTTTATACAATTTTTCTCCATCTCAAATCTGTCTGACATATCTATAAGTCTACCACACATCCATGCTTAGAATATTACTGCCATATATGGTCTGGTGCTCCTGCTATTTATCTAGACTTCCTTCATAAAACCCAAAGAAGAATCAGCAATATTATTGGTCCTGATCTGGTGGATCAGTTTCAGTCACTTTCCCACGACCATAAGGTTGCCTCTCTGTGTCTTTTCTATAAATACTTTCATGGTAATTGTTCGAACAAGCTCTTAGCTATGGTACCTAGACTTTTTTAATTTAAGCTCAGTACTAGCCTGGAATAGAGATCTCATCAATTTAGAGTTGAGCCGGCTGGACGTAACCGTAAATTCTATGCTAACAGTTTCTTTTCTGATACCTCTCACTTGTGGAACTCCCTTCTGGCTCCATTTTTTCCAGCCAACTTTAATCTGCAAAAATTTAAATGCAATGTCAATCGTTATCTACTGTCCTGATTACTCTTCTCTTGATCTTGCTCCTGAGTAATGTTTCTGTTTATAATTCTTCCACATCTAGTAATGCCTTGTGCCTTAGTGGCTTTACTGCCTTGCTTAGGGTGAATTTGATTAAAAAGATGTTGTAAAAGATATTTTGTAGGAAAAAAATCTTAGGAAAATAAATTCAGCAAATTTACCAACATTTATACAATTGAAAATATTAGTTACTTAAACTATTCTAATATTCAAAATTACTAATTATTTACTTATATATTGTATTTATTTATATTATTGACTGTATCAGAAAACGATATAATTTTTTTTATATCAAGAACAATTTTAGGAAAATTTCTTGGCAGTTCTTCAATTATCACAACATGAGATATTTAATAACAAAAGTCACGAAAGCATAAACAAAAAGAAAACTAAATGATATTGGCTAGACGAGGGGTCCTCAACTTTGATCTCTTACTTTTTCTTATTTTTTTATTTACAGAATCTGGAGCCATCCCAAGTGGCAAAAAAGACAGTATGATGAACCTTTAATTCAATATGGATCCACTCTGACCTTTTACTGAATTTTTTTGTCAATTGAACTACACTTCAGTTTATTTATATAATAATTAGCTATGAATTAAACAAATTACTGTACATGTATTCAAGTTTAAAAATCTATCAATATCTTCAATTGCTATGAAATTTGTAAAAAACCTCTATAAATATAATCCATGTAAATGTATATATCCTAATATGAAGAAGAATAAAGATTTGCATATTATTTGGAATGCACCTTTTGAGACAGACAATCTTGAAAAGTGGAGGAATGGCATTCTGATTTTATGGTGAAAAGGACAAAAAAGGTTGAGAACTACTATATACCAAAAACATTTTAAAAAAAAAAAAAAAATTAGTTTATACTAGCAGTAGAGCCCAGTGTTGCCCGGGGATGTAACAGTAAGAGATAGATCAAGTATCGACCATCATAAAGACTAAAAAATAAAATTGACAAAGATTATTGTTTAAGGTTGACGGACATGCATGTCTTAAATAGTTTGTTTTTTTTTGTTTTGTTCTTGTTTTTTTACGAATTGGTCAAACTCAAACTCAAACAAAAACATTGTTTTCAATCAATATAAGTCTACCGATTGAATAGAATTTTTCAATTTTATTATAAACAATTGTCTTGTAAATGGAATTTTTAAAGCATTCTAAATGTAAAAATAAAGAAAAAAGTGTGCAAGACAATAAGAAACACTACCTGCCCGCCAAAAAAGTGAAGTATTGTTGAAATCGGTTGAAAAATGTAGGAAATCCGATCCCATATATAAATGAACACACACACAAACAACCTGGGTTTTATAAGTATAACTCGATATGAGTTGTCCCCCTTTCATTCTCGAGACAGCGATGCCTCTTAATCATGCTTTCAAATTGATTTTGTGCAAAAACAATTGTGTTTTTCCAATTTTTGGCACTGTCAGAACCACCGCAAGGTAATTTTACGTAGTCCTGTGAAGTTTTGTTGAAATCGGTTCAAAAATGTAGGAAATCCGATCCAATATATAAACGAACAGACACACACACACACAACCTGGGTTTTATAAGTATGATTTAAAATTTTCAGCATTCTTTCTCCTTTGTGCACATGTATAGTCACATCAACATAAAAATCACTTTAGTCTGATAAAATCCTTACAGACAAAACATGTTATGTGAAAACTTTTTTCCACTTTGTCATAGAATTTTCCCTAAAACATTATTGTCTCCAAACAAATGTAAAACCTGTTTTATACTAAAAAGTTATAACAATTAAACATTAAAAAGTTATATGACGACACTTAATTTTCTGAATTTTTATTTTCCTAAGTGTTTATATAAAAACATTTAGGAAGATAAATTCAATAAATGATTATTTAAATTATCATAATATTCAAAATTACTGATTATTTACTTTTTTCCTGTTTTAATCATTTCTCCCCAAGCATGCCACTAAGATACAATCAGTTACTGAGAGAGAATGAGAAGACTTTAGTGAGGAGAAAGGACAATAAAAGAACAGGTTTCAGTAAGACAGCAGATGCCGATAATGCCACTAAGACCACATTTACATTGCATTTAAATTTTTGAAGAGCTTATGTGTCAGAGAAGCAAGAAACTTGTAGAGAGTTCCATAGGCAAGAAGAAACTATAAGAATAGAATTTATGGTTACATCTGACTATTTTTAACAGTAAAACAATGAGATCCAGTTGCTAAACTAGTAGTACACTTAAATTCATGCACTCATGGTACCAAGGAGGGAACATCATTAGAACAACTGCCATGAAAATATTTATAGAAAGACAAAGGGAAGCTATGGGAAAGTTATTGAAGTCAAGATGTCAGGACATCTTGACATTGCAGACTCCTCTTCAAGTTTTGCCGATAGTCTTGAGATTTGTCGTATTTTATTATTTATTTAATTCTACTTACCCATTAAAGCCTCAAAACAGTTTGCCATTGCATGCTTCAAGTCAGATTCATAACACAAATCAGGTCCATGTGCATATAACATGAAGTCCTGTAAGTGTAGTTTCTGGAAGAAAAATATTTTATAAAAATCATATTACATATTTTTATTATATTACAGAACATGCTTGATTTTCCATACTTCGATTATTAAAACTGAAATCATCTGAACATTTTTCAATCATCTGAACAAAACCCATTCTAATATTTTATCTCTGAAAAGTGTGCTAGGAATTTAGTGGGCTATACTCAACGCTCAATTTAAATGCTAATTGTTGTAGCATACCTATGGATAATAATGGGTATGTCCCCATTCACATAAATACAGTAGTAAATACTGTATGTTGGTCTGCAGTTGAAGATTCGTCTCCAGCTGTTCTGGTCAAACTCTCTGTCTCCGGGCAGAGAGGATCCCCAAACAAGGTTATGTCAAAGAGCAGAGTCTGGTCTCAGGAAACAGCTACCCGACCCCATTTTGTACGGGATCTACGGGGAATTTTTGGCCGAGTCTACGGGCTCGGATACCCAACATTAAATTCGTCTTTGTGCCACATCTGACCATGTGGGGCAATTGGTAGATATTCTGCAGTTGGATATTCATTGTGGAATTCATTTGACTACTTCTTCTACGTGCCGCTGGCGAATCTTATATGTGTTGTTCTTGTCCTAAGTATTATCGTTCATTACCAACCTTCATTTGATTATTCGATTCAGTAACCTTCCCTAGGTTATAACACTAATAGAATCATTTTTTTAAAGTAAGGAGCCACTCAAGGTAGATGGTTACTTAAGGGGTAGTTTATATGGATAAGAGGGGAAGATAACAGTTGACTCTAGACTTAAACAAATTCTTTCCGTCTGAATTTTTTTAAAATGAGGAGTTATAATTATTTACATGTGGACTATTGTCCTCATGTTTGTTGTTGTTATCACAATGTTTCAGCCATTGTGCTCTTTGGCCTTCATCAAATGTATGTCCATCTAGGTAACCTTCAGGGATATCTCGTCTAGTTCATATTTACTTTTATTAATTGAGCAGTACTAAATAAGAACTAGATAAGACATCCCTAGACACGGTCAGCAGAGCAAGAGCAATCAATCTCCACAGATTAAATAAAGGGTTCTGTTTGAAATTCCATGAAGGTTATCCAGATTGACAGACACTTGAAAGCTGTAGAGTATAACAACAAAGATGAAGACAATAGTCCACATATAAATAATAATCAATAATTGTAGAACATTTAGAAAAAAAATTGATGGGCAACAAAGATTGGAAATGTTTTTTTTGTTTTGAAATTACCTGTTTATATACATTTCCTATATTCAGACTATTAAAAGACAAATGACAGGAAGTCTTCAGCAGCAGCAGCAATCAAAACACAGGCAGCAGCAGCAGTCAAAATATGACAGACAGCAGCAGCAGCAGATGCAACCTAATCAGCAGCCAGGTTAGCTTCTAGTTCACTACAACAAATTGTCCAATGAGTGCATAAAAGCACTGATTTGCAAATTTGGTGACATAGTGAGTTTCATTCCTGGGTTGGGCAGTGTGAACTTGTACTCAGTGTAAATGGACAAGTAATAACTGAATGGTACTAAATAAAAATAAGAACTAGGTGATATCCCTATACATGAGCAGTGTAACAAGAGCAGTCTACATAGCTTACCTTGGCTAAAACTGCCAAGTGTTGGTTCTGAACAATAGCCGCTCTGTATGTAGTTAAGCCACCTTCTTCAAGACCAGGGAACATAAAAAATAGATGTACACTGAAAGAAAAGAAGAAAAAATATAAAAGATTACAATCAACAAAGTTATTTAAAAGCAACAGATAATATATTAGCTCCTATTTAATGGTAAACTCACATGCAGTAGGTGCAGGTTAAGGAGCAAATCACAAAAATCACTTCATGAAACATCAAGGAGTTATTGAGGAAAACTAAATAATGAGTTGGCATTCCATAATCAATAAAAAGGTACCTATACAAACATACACCCAGTGCATTCTCTGTGTCTTTTACCCCCACATTGTGCATCGATTTTTGTTTGTATCAGTGTGCACAAATTAATAATGTTTCTGCTTTCTAATTCTTTCACACCCAGAAACACCTTGTGTCTAAGTAGATTTAGTGCCTTGTTTGGGGTAAATCTGATTAAAAAAAAATTACCTGGATAAAAATTCAACGACAGCATCTCCAAGGAACTCCATCCTCTCATTGTGTGGAATTTCTGATGAAGTTTCCTCTTTGTGTCCCATCCGGGACATTATATCAATCAAGATATTGATACCTATATAATAAATAGAAACAAAAACATTAAGTGAAACAAAAAAATATATATTGGTTGATTGCTGCCATTACTTTGTCTTCCTGTATATTCTGACTTATCATACTAGATATTTAAAAAAAAAAAATTGTAAGTTATTGTGAATCTTACAATAACTTACTTTTTTAAAAATATCCAGTATGATAGACTATATCCAAAGAAAGAAGGAGTCTCATTACTCTCTGGAATGGTAACATGGAAACATTTGGCATTCCTTGACTAAGCAGCTAGTATGACTGGCGGTTGAAATTTATAAAATTTTTCTATTAAAACAATTTTTCAGGAAAATAGGTTTTTTTCAAGTCCAGTAATTGTTATTGATCTTTCCAGTAGTGATGGCTGTTTCCTTCCTAATCTTTTCTTCAAAGTAGTATGGAACGTCTACATCTTGACATTATCATTATTTTCTGATCTCATTATATTTGCTATCCACTTTAGTTGTTATTGTTCTTGAAAGTCTTCAAGTGATGTAATTTCTATTATTTGATGCAATTCAAATTTGTATATTTGGTACAGTGAAGGAATTTAAATTAAAATTTGAGCAACCAGTGCTACTTTTGATTTTAATTTATAAAGTCTTTCTCTTGAAACAATTTTTCGGGAAAATAGGTTTCTCAAGTTGAGTAGCTGTTATCACTCTTTATTTATGTATTTATAGGGATTTCTTCCTAATTTTTTTTCTTGAAGTAGTGTGGAACGTCAACATCTTGAGAATGTCATTATTTTCTGTTTGAATGCTATCCATTTTAGTTGTTGCCATTTTTGAAAGTCTTCAAGTGATGTCATTTCTGTTATCAGATACGGTTCAAATTTGTTTATTTAGTACAGTTAAGAAATTTAAATTAAAATTTGAGTTATTTACTAAGTTAAGGAATTACTAAAATAGTGATTTTTAACTTTTTCACTTAGCACACATAAAAAAATGTTTGAACAATGTTCCCACCTGTAAAAAATGTAACATCACATTTGAAAATGAAGAAGTCCAAGTTACAATTTTTGAACCACCATGTAACATCATGGATAGCACATGTAACTGAGCTACATGAATTTAAGCATGCTACTAGATTGGCATCTAGGTCCCACCTGCTTACTGTTGAAATAGCTTAATGCAACTGCCATTTCTTATTCAACAGTTTCTTTTCTCACACTGTAGAACTCCCTTCCATTTAATTGTTTCTCTGATAACTATAATCTTCAAAAATTTAAATGCAATGTCAATCACCATCTTGTCTTCTTGAATAACATTCACCTTTGGTCCTTTCCGCAATCCTCCCTATACTCAGTCATCTCTTTCACTTTCACAACCTGTCAAGCCCCACTCCGTACTAGTAGAATTTCTACCTTGCTTGGGGTGAAATGATTTAAAAAAAAAAAAAAAAAAAACATATATAATAAAAAAGGCTCAAACACTAATATTCCATTACAGGTTTAATTAGAGCATGATTTAAAGGGCGACAACTCCGATATAGCAGTTACTTCCCTTAAACAAAGTCACAAAGGATTTGCCAAACGAAAATAATACTAAGTTATAATTCACACAATGTTTTTGAGTTCACAAATATGATTAAAATGAGAAGACTCTAGCAATATGCGGGCTTTCATGTATTTTTCATTGAATAAACATTATTTTGGCACTTGCTAATCGGACATAATGATCTATAAACTACTCTTTTATAAATAAGACTGTCAAATATAATGCTTAATAGCTGCTGTGGGTGAAGAGATTGTTTTTGTTGTGAGTGTCGGCAATTACCAAAATGATGTTGAGTCACTCACATTACAGCAGCAGAAATTAGCTCCACATTCACTGAGATAAAAACATACTTGACAGGAAATAAAATCTACAGAAATAACAGGAAAGCACAATATGTTAATTTCATACAATTTATTTATATTTTTTGTATGTATTTTTTGAGTTACAATTGTTTTATGGTACATGTGATAAAAGGGAGAATTTACTCTGCAGTATTACAAGTCATATTACAGAGACAGATGTTACACACATGTTGCCTGCCTGAAGGTTCCTGGGGAAGAGATTGAATTTAAAGTCTTTTGGCAAGATGTCCATATTTCCGGCAGGAAGAGTTTTTGTTGGGTTAGATCCAATGACAGGACCCAAAGAGTGTGAGTTCAATACCCGGTTAAGGCAGTGGAGAACTTTCAGAGGGAAATTAACAGGAGATAACTACCCCAGTGAGTGAAATAAAGGGTTCAGTTCAACATTCCAACCACCTGAAGAAGGCCGGAGCATACAACAGCCGAAATGTTGTAATAAATATGGCGACAAAGATGAGGACAATAGTTTGAATAATGTAAATAAATTTAGAAGGATATGCACTTTATAGGTTACACAAAGGTGTTTGACAAGGTACAGCACAAAGATCTATTTGAACTGCTAGGAAAACTCAATTTATTTGGAAAAGATGTTAGAATAATCCAGAACTTATACTGAGAGCAAAGGTCCTGCACAGAGATAGAAAATGAAGTGAGTCGCTACAGAAAAATAGAAAGGAGCATGAGACAAGCATGCATTTTCTCTCCAGATTTATTCAACCTCTACAGCAACGTCATTCTAAAGGAACTAGAGACCCTACCAGGATTTATTATTGGTGGGCATAACCTTAACAATATAAGATGTGCAGATGACACAGTGTTGATGGCCAACTTGGAAAGGAAACTACAGGACCCCCTCGACAGGGTGGTAGAAGAAAGAAAGAATAAAGGACTAATCATCAACTTCAAGAAGACAGAAAGTATGGTCATCGGCAAGTGAAAAAGGCCAAGATGCTAGTTACGAATTGGAGATATCAACATCAAGCAGGTGCAGGATTTCAAATATCTGTAAGCATTTTAACAGATGGAAAATGCAACATTGAGATCCAAGCATGCATTAGACTAGCAATAGAAGCATTCTAAAAGCTAAGTAAGGTGCTGAGAAACAGAAATATTTCATTTGAAAAAAAAAAACAAAAGAATGCTGGGTTGCTATGTGATATCCATCCTCTTATATGGCAGTGGATGTTGGACAATTTCCCTACAGACAAGGAAAAAACTAGAGGCAGCTAAAAAGTTGTTCTACAGAAGGATACTGAGAATTTTATGGACAGAGCTAGTTATAAAGGAAGACTTTAAAAATGGCAACAGAAAGAACACTTACATTCAGAATTAGAAAAACACAGCTAAAATGCTTTGGACACATAATGAGGAAAGAATGCTTAGAAAACTTGGCACTCACATAACATATCGAAGGCAAGAGAGATAGGAGAAGGCAGTGAGCCTCTTACCTGATGAGCTTATGTTAATTGATGAGAGAACAGGGGCTGGGAGCCTTAACAAAGGAAGAAAAACTGCTAAAGAACCACATGAGATAGAAAGTTGACTGTGATACTTTTTCTCAAGTACAGTGATACCTGGGCTTAAGTCATCTCAAGTCATTTTTGAAGATATGTTGGTTTTTCCTAAATATTTTATGGAAAAATAAAACTCACCATAGGTAGTTTTACTTGAGTTTATGTTGGCCATTAAAAATATTAGAAACATCAAAACATTAAAATAATATTAAACACTTCTAAAATCATACTTAAATCAATTTAAAAATAATATTATATATCATAAAATCATCAAAAACAAAAAAATTAGCATAATAAAGTATGTTCAGCAGTTGTTCTTATTTCAAATTCCTGCCAACAGGTGGTACTCGTGTTGTTTTCCACTCCGACATTTTGAATTCAGACTTGTTTACATCTGTGCTCTGCCATTAACATTCTTTCAATTACATTTCAATTGTGATTTAGAATACATTTTTGCCCATGGCTCCAAAGAAAAGTCCCAGTGCAAGTGCTAAAGCAAAGTGTAAGGTTATATCGCAGGAAGATACGGTGGAAATTATTTTATTCAGAATAGTGTACATACATATCATAAACACTGTAATAAGCAATGGGGAGTGCTTATAGTTTATAGTGAGGTTATTTTGACCTATATCATGACATCTAGAACTAATTAACAGCGTAGGGTAAGGTATACCCATACTACTGTTATAGTTGTTGTTGTATATATTCACTCACTAAAAGTCCCATGAAAAAAAATGTCAGCATCTTAATTTCTTTATACCCTCTTAGTATTTCCATAACCTATTTATTTAATAAATCCAACTTGTAATAGGACATATAAATATCTCCTAAAAGATAAGGTACAAATGATGTTTCCTTCTATCATAAAACAAATAATGATTACTTCCTTTAAATTCTCATAAAGATAGTAAGAATCTATCAAGCTTTAGATAAGACTGGTGAAGCTCAGGCTGTTGCTTTGGACATCTTGAAAGCATTTGACAAGGTTTGACGTAATGGTCTTCTCCACGAGTTGATAGGCTACAGTATCTCTGAACAAATTTTTGAGCTGTTGCAGTCTTTCTCATTTAATTGCAAAATGAAATTGTCCTGAATGGCCACTCTTCTCGATCTTTCTGTACTAATGCAGGTGTCCTCCAGGATACTATCCTTAGACCTTCTTTGTTTCGAATTTTTGTCAATAACCTTCCTGACGATGCCAGTTCTCAACTTGGTAACCATTTACTCCTGTCTCAATAATAGGCCTGATCAGTTCAATAAGGTGACATTGGCAGGTGATCTAAAAAATGACCTACAGTTTGTTGCTAACTGGGGCAAGGAATGGCTTGTTAATTTTAACACCTCCAAAATGAAACTTTTCTCTATCTTCCTACCTCATGGCTGATGCTAACCTCCAGGAGAGTGACTAGTTGCAACTTCTCAGTCTAACATTCTCAACTGATAAGAAATGGAAAGACTATATTGAATTTATTGCTAGATCTGCTGCTAAGAAAGTCGGTTCATTATGTTATACAAGATAATTTTCCTCTCCAGAGTCTATCTTGCATATTTATAAGTCTACCATTTGTCCATACTTTTAATATTGCTGCTACATATGGTCCAGTGCTCCTGCTGTATATTTAGAGATTTTGATAAAACCAAAAGAAATCTCAGCAATGTTATTGGTCCTAACCTGGCATTTTGGTTTCAGTCACTTTCCCACCGCTGTAATGTAGCTTCCCTTTGCCTTTTCTATAAATACTTTCGTGGTAATTGGTTGGATGAACTCTTTGCTATGGTACCGAGACTTTATGAATTTAAGTGCAGTACTTGATTAGTGGCAAGTTCTCCTCAATTCACAGTTGCAGTGTTTAGGTGTAACCATAAGTTCTATGCTAACAGCTTTTTTCTCACACTTCTTGTTTGTGGAACTCTTTTCCAGCTTCATGCATTCCAGCCAACTTTGATCATCAAAAATTGAAATGCTTTGTCAATCATTATCTACCATCTTGATTACTCTTCTATTCTTCTAACTCCCTAATGTTTCTCTTTTTTCTTGTTCTTTCACACTCAGTAACACCTTATGTCTTAGTGGCTTTACTGCCTTGCTTGGGGTGATATGAGTAAAAAAATAAAAAGCTCATAAGCCCAAATTATTAATTGTCCTTATCTTTGTTGTTATTATCACTACATTCTGGCCATTATAAATTCAGGTAACCTACAGGGAATTTCAAACTGAACCCTTTATTTAATCTATGGAGATAGATTGTTCTTGTCCATGTCTTGGGATATCTCATCTAGTTCTTATTTAGTACTGCTGAGTTATTGGTCATCCTGTTTCCATTGAGTCTACATCTGCACAACGCAGCACAGGGACTGAACTCCAACTCCCAATTGTTATGTTGCCAAATTCCCAAACCAACACTTTAATCCACTAGGCTATAATTCCATGGGACAATCCTGAGTGTAGAATTTAGAGCTTTAAACCAATGTTGCTTGTCATGCTTGACTGCATTCACCAAGACTTTCTTAAAGCTTCTGCTGAGCTTTGCTGACATTTTTCTTTCTCATTATAGGGTCTGTCAGAAATGTATTTAGTCAATTTGAATATTGGAAAAAAAAATCTTCGTATAAACAGGTGACCAATTGAAAGGGATTTTACTATACATGTATGAACAGACACAATGGTGATAAGATTTTGTCATATATGCTGCGTATAGAACTTGCTAAGTTATTTTCAGTTTAAATTTCATGTTGACAGAGGATATCTTTCTTCTTTTTGTTTTTTCAAGGGAATTCACCCCAAGCATGGCGGGAGTGCTACTAGCATGCAAGGAGTTACAGAGGATTGAGAACAAGAATAAAGAGGCATGTTTGAGGAAAGGATAGAGAGAAAGACAGGGAACAAGCTCAAGGCATCAGATGTCGATTGACATTACACTTGAATATTTGAAGATTATAGTCATCGGAGAAGCAAGTAAGGGGAAGGGAGTTCCACACACAGGAAGTGCAGGAGAAGGAGCTGTTTGAGTAGAAGAGATGGTTACATTTAACCATTTTGACAGTGAAAGGGTGGGACCGAGATGCCAGCCTGATAGTTCGCTTAAATTCATGTAATCTGGGAACCAGTGAAAGTAGATAGTCAGAGCAGTTGCCGTGAAAATACTTGTAAAAGAGTCAGATGGATGCCACTGTCAATTTTATTTCAACCATTCTCTTATGAATAAAATCCAAACTGCAAAAAGAAATCAAATATTTTTTCACTCACCTCGCTTCCTCGTGTGGACATAGTGGATCTTTCGATCCCCATATTCAACTTGACGTGATCCGCAATTGGTTAGCGAGTTCCGGGCATGGTCAGGGTTAGTGCCATAATTTACACGGTATGAGGTATGCGTCAAGGCCAACTGTGATAAAAGAAAGAATAGAATTTGTTTTATATTTTTTTTCATTTTACAGAAAGAACATGCAGCACCAGATTACAGTGGTCCTCCTACCCAACTTTGCAAGTGATTAAATTCAATTTTTGATCGCACTCTAATGACAAAAAAAAAAAATAATTGTTAAATGATGAGAATCATTTCCCCTCAAGCAAGGCAATAAGACCACTAAGACACAAGGGGTCATTGAGTGTGACAGAATATGTGAAAAAGAAAAACGGTGACTGAAATGAAGATACCATTTCATGAGAGATAATATTGCAAATTCTTCTTTGGATTTTATCAAGAATCTCGAAATACATAACAAAAGCACCAGACACTGCCTTCTCTTACGCTTATTCAACAACCTCAATCAGTAACCTTGTATATTTTGAGTGGCTCCTGAGCCTTGTACTGGGTGAACAATTTGTAGAAAAAAATATTTTTGTTCTTATATACTTTATTATTAACAGAAGCTGACAAAAAAACTATAAAATGCTATAATAAAAATAATAGTAAAAATTCAATGAAGGAAAAAAATCATTTAAATTTGATTCCCGCTCTATTTTCATTTATTCACAAAAAATATTTTTAATGTTATAAACATTAAACAAAAAATTTCAACTCCTTGATGTTTTTTAATTTATTTTCTTTTTTAGCTGCCATGTTGCTCCAGATTATAAACCAGTAATAAGGAGTGCCAGACAAAAGCAATAATAACAACAAAAATTGCAATATGAGCTCTGGTAAAAAACATACAATAATAACAGCAAAAATTGCAATATGAACACTGGTAAAAATAGGTGCTGAAGACATTATGTTTCTAATACCCAGAAATTCAGATCCAGATGTCCTCAAGGACACATGGCACAATGAATAAAGGCATTAGTTAGATCCAGTGACCGGACCCAAAGAGTGTGAGTTCAATACCTGGTTAAGGGAGTGGAGAACTTTCAGAGGGAAATTAATAGGAGATAACTGATAACTGACATCCATTAGACATGGCACTAGAACAGTCTACCCCAGGAAGCGAAATAAAGGGTTCAATTTGACATTACAACCAACTGAAGAAGGTCAGAGCGTACAACAGCTGAAACGTGATAAATATGAGGACAATAGTCCAAAATAGCGTACCTAACACCTCATCTCAGAAATATAGACAGATACTAAGTTTCTTCTATCACACTTCTCGCTTGTAGAATTCTCTTCTGGCTTCTTGCTTTCCAGTCAACTTTAACCTTCAAAAATTTAAATCCAATAATTGTTTTCTTAATTCCTGTTCTTCTATTTTTTTCATTCCATGTTTTTACTTTTCTTATATTCTTTCGCACTCAGTAACACCTATGCATCTTAGTGGCTATATTGCCTTGCTTGGAATGAAATGTTTAAAATAAATAAAAAAAAAATGATGGGCCAGGACAATTATTCTCTTTTTGAGAAAAATCCACTATGGAAACCGTTTACCCCAATCACCTCATTTTTTAGGCAGCAAACATTTTGCTATTGAAAATTATTTAAAAAGTTATAAAAACATTATAAATTTATCCAGGCAGCCGTTTTATTTCACCAACTTTGTTTATTTAAAATTCAAGTCTAGATTGTGACAAAATTTTCTCAGTCTCTGCAGTCACTACGGCAGGTGTCAGGATAAGCTGACTGACCCTACCTCTTCTAGTAAAATGGGAAGGTACTGCTCAGTGTTTGGAACGCCAGAGATCAGACCTGCTTCATTTGTACCCTGTCTCACATAAAAACAAAACATGGCTGCTTCTAGACAAATGTTAATAACTTTTTTAATTTAATTTTCATTACATCTTAAGTCAATATTTACCTGCAGCAAACTCCTGTCTTTGAATTTGTAGCCAAGGTAGCCCTCCAGAATGGCAAGAGATTTGTGGAAACGCAAATGGCAGAGTAACACTGGTAAAAGCATCACATGCTAAAAACAAAATAAAAATGGTAGATTTAGAATTTTAGGGCACATCCCTTTCATCATCTAACCTAAAATGGTTTATATTTATAAAAATATTTGAATTAAACATTACCCTAATCTATGGCTGTGGTTTCTATACCTTTGCCTATTGGCACTAAGTAGCAATTCCAAATGGACTGAAAAGGCAGGGTTTACTACCACATATATATTTACACATGTCCCACAATGGACTGGTATGACTGTACCAGAATTGCTAATGGCTGCCGTTGATAAAATGTTGCGGAAGAGAGTTAGTGTGGCTTCTGCATTCGAATCTTCTCTACGATTACAAAAGTCAAGGAGATGATGATGATTACACGTCATGGTGTAACGAGTAGACTACTGCTGTGGTGGGAGGCAGTATGGTCTCCTTTGGAGTGCACCAAAATCAAACTCAGTTTGGAGATGAAGAAGAAGGCGGCCATATTGAAAATATGTGCATTAGTGCAAAACAGAAAAATATGAAATATTAAAAATAAGAAAGCAGTTTTCTGTCATGAAATATATGTACAAAGGCATAAATGTCATTAATGTCTGGCATTCATGCAACTACAAAAATACATATAGTTGAAATTTGTCACTACCACACTGAAGAGCAGCATATAAAAAGGCTTGTCTGATACAGTCAGTCAAGTGGCATGCGTAATACATGCTTGGGCAGTCATGTCTTTTTCAATTCATGAATGACGAGGTAGAAGATTTTCCAACAACAGGTTGCAATTTCTTTATGCAGTAGACTGGTTGCCAGTCTGTGTAGCTATTCAACCCATAGCTGGGGAGAGAAGAGATGGATTCATACCTTTTCCAAGGGTATTAGTACATAAGTGAGTGTAACAAACTCAATTAGAATTCAAACTCAGCTCTCCAATTTCACATTCCAAGCTGATAGCCATTACAACACAATGCACATCACGTCTGATACACTTAACCTATTTAATAATAGAAAGTGTATATACAGTGAAAATATCATACTCATGTGGTTCTTAAAATATGATAAATGTGAAAAACTGATATTTTATTAAAATTAGCAATGTGGGGCAGCTAACAAGTCCATGGCTTCATTTTTATTTGGAAATATATCTTCACCAGATAAGAAAACTATATCTGGCTTGCAGTCCTCATATTGGGAAAAACCCATGACATGTCATTTCCCATTTGAGGAATATGTCCTTGCTAATGACACAGAAGATAAATCCAGCCTGCTCAAATTTTTGTTGGGAAACCTAAATATGGCTTCTCCAGTAACACTGAATAATCCTCCGGCAGCTCAAATTCTCAATGGGAATTATTACAAGTAAGACTCTGTATCCCTTCACCATTGTTGCATTGCTTGTGTGGTATACACATGTTATAGTTTCTCTGTGTGGGACATGTGTAAATATTGTATATAATTTTGTGTATGACTTAGCAGTATATAACTCTGAGAATAAAGCATGGTTAGCTTCCTTTTCTTTCAGCTATTCCATTACATCTTTTTATTAAGGTGTTATTATATCATGGGTATAATAATGCCCATAATGGGGAAAAGGTAACTTTGAATGAGACTAAAGCACCATTGCCCTAGGTAGGACATGTTAGATTTTAAAAAGTCCTTTACCCGAAATTACCACAACAGAAATAGTAAAGAAGGACTTAAAAAAAAATAAAACTATAGAAATGATTTTATAAAAATTATCAAATTACACAAAGCCTTTTAACTATAATAAATCTATTTGATAAAAAAAAAAAAAATTTAAAAATGGAAAAGCCCTACCTGACAAACGTCAGATTTGATCCCAGTTCTAATAAATCCTTCACTGCTTATCTCCACGGTCACTTCTCGCTTCATTGTGCTGTAGTAAAAGATCATGAGAAAGAGTATGATTTCCAGGCTAACTAAAATCTACAGGAGTCATGATGGCAATGAACAGATATTTTTTATGTATGTAATAAAACTTTAAAATATCAACAGTTGCACCATGTAGAAGTTTTAATAATGAATACGCCATTTTTAATAATGAATACGCCATTTTTAATAATGAATACGCCATTTTTAAGACAAAGGTAAAATAGGTCAAGAAGAAGAAAAAAAAAATTAATTCAATATTCTTAAAGAAAATTGGCTCCCAGTTTGCAAATGTCCAAAGAAAAAATGCTGATTTTGTGGCTCTTCATACGGCCAAAATAGTTAGGTATTTCTCAGTGGTGCCAGAAGTCAGTGTTCAAGCCCAGGTAAAGTGCTGGTTTTGAATGCTGATTTTCTTACAAAGCTTACATTGCCTGCTATCAATGTATTCATGCACTTTCAAGATACTGATAAGTATCAGTCACTGGCATTTGCGTTATAAACTAACTAGTGCTTTGTGCTATTTCCAAAACAGATTAGACATATAGTAGCATATAATACAACCTATTCTGCAACATCTTTTTATTATATTGGGGGGGGTTAAGCTTAGTATGTACTGCACAGCATCTGATCAAAACAAAAATATTGGCATCCATGAGAAATTACCATCTATTTTTCCCAAAATGGGCCAGTACAGCCAGGCAACAATGCTATAACAATGCAAGTGAAAGTATTAATCAGGAAAGAAGAAAGTGGTATGCTAAAGTTGCTAAGGTATACAGCAAGAACAAAACTTTTATCTATCTCATTACTTTTATTACAGCTATATTGTTAGGACTGTTCCATTTTATTATTGTTGTTGTTAAACACTTATTGTACCTAATGTATAAATTAAGCTACATCATAGGCATATATATATATATATATATATATATACTAGAATAAATCCTAAGGAGCCAGGCAAACCTACCTAGGTTTCACCTAAACAGATCTTCAGGGTAAACTGGCACTTGGCGATTTGTTTCATCTCCTGATGTTTTTAGTTCTTTCTTTTTTTATTTCCATTTTTTCCTCAGGTACCGACATACCTGCAAGTTGAGCTATCCGAGCTTTTTTCAAATATATATATATATATATATATATATATATATATATATATATATATATATTATTCATACACGTTTCATTAAATAATATAGACAAGTGTTGTCTATTAATTTTATGTAAATTTTTGTACCGTCTGATAAGTTTAATAACATTATCGTTGAACAAAGAAAGAAATTCACAATAGTGATCCATATTTTTTTTAATACAATCTAAGCTTTAAACACATAAGCCATTATCAAAGATGTCAATTACAACATATTAAGCAATATAAGGACAAGACAGTGATGATAGTCTGTCAATGTTTACATAGATGATTTCTAAGCAATGATAAACACGTGCATATAAGACGCTAGAAGCAATAATCGCACCGCATCTCATGACGTCACACATGACCACACGAGAGTGAATTGGAGAAGTATTTAGTATGGAAAGCCGTTGGTATAAACCAATGGCTTCTGTTACCAATTATAGACATTTAAGAATATTTGTAGAGATGCCATAATTGATTTTGTTTAGGTTGCATTTCAACTGTTTGATGTATAATGCTTCAAGGATTTTTTAGTTTTTTTGTTTTTTTTTTCATGTTGAAGTGTAATTGTGTTTTCGACAAGTATTTTACGGAATTGTGTGTGCAGGCAGGCATGTTGTTTTAAATGCCTAAGATGTTAGATATATTAATATATATATTAATGTATGTTTGAGTAGCAACCTTTCTTTGAAACATCTTTTATTAAATATGACAGACAAGATAAATTTTTTTTTATTATTATTTAGTTTTTCCAGCATTTTTCCATTTTGTGGGAGTAAGAGAATATATATATTTTAATATAGCATGAAACTTAAATAGCTGTTCAAATTTTGTCTCTTTTTGTGTCATAACACTAGATCTATCTTGGTAATTTAGACATAGAGCACTGTTTATTACTGTTTTTGTAGCTGTCTGGGTTCTTTTTCTTCTTAGATTGCTCCCTTTTCCTTCTATTAGTTTTTCTCTTGTTTTTTGTTTTATTGGTTTGTGTGCATATATATATATATATATATATATATATATGCAGTACTTACTGAAAAATGATCAATATCAGTGATAGAGCTAACATACTTAGTTGTATGGATTTGAGTTTGTAACCCTAAATTTCACACTTTTGCGATCATCAGACAAACTCTGAGGATTGCAAAAGCATGAAAACTAGTGTTACAAACTCACATCCATACAACTATATATATATATATATATTTTGTGTATATTTTGGCAGCATGTTTTCATTGAGGCATGTTTCAGTGAATAACTAAATTGAATCCTTTCATATTCACAGACAAGCTTAATTTGTCATTAGCTCATTCAATTTGCCTTTTCACAAGGCTACATTTAAAATTTCAGGTGTTGATATTCTGGTAAGCTGCTCGATCATGTAATTTAAATTGCATATATTTTGGCAGCATGTCTTCAATGAGACATGTTGCATTGAATAATTTTGTGAAAAGGCAAATTGAAATAGCTAATGACAAATTTAGCTTGTCCGTGAACATGAAAGGATCCAACTGAAAATAAGTAGACAAAACTTATCTAAATTATTCAATCAAACATGTCTCATATATATATATATATATATATATATATATATATATAGAGAGAGAGAGAGAGAGGGGGAGGGAGGGAGATACAGACAGACAAACAGACAGAGAGAAAGATGTGGTTCAAGAGTATCTGCAATTTCAAGAATCCCTTGTGTATCTAGGGATATGACCTCCATGAATAAAACTAAGGGAGACAACTGTAGTCATGTTTCTATTGTTTTAAGATTATTTTATAACCAGGTGAATGAAATGCTGGCTAAAAACATCGCAAGGTTTAATTTACTTTCATCATTCAATTGTTCTTTCAAGTGGTATTAAAAATATTCTTAGAATTTCATATTAAAAAAGAAAGGCCATCAACAGATTCAAACGACTATGAACACCTTTTACTACAGTGTAACCCAGATATAAGAAACCCAGATATAAGAGAGATTTTCTCTTATCCCAAATTAGAGCCATACTTACCTAAACAAAATAGACCAAACCCGGATATGAGAGAAACCCGGATATAAGAGAAACCCGGATATAAGAGAAACCCGGATATAAGAGACTTCTTCTCCGGTCCCAACAACTCTCTTATATCCGGGTTACACTGTATTTGATTAATCACAATACAAATGTTTCCCCGATAAATTCCAGTTTTACCTTTTCAGTCTCAGTTGTTGCAAGAATTCTTCCTTCATCTGCAATTTGTTCTTATCAGCGTAGGTCACTTTAGGTTTGCTGGTCAACAAATGTTTATATTTGACATACTGCTTCCAAGCCTTCTGATAACTGGACACACACACACACACAAGAAAAGACAGAAAATAAAACAATGAGTCATCTTCAAATCAATTCATTATACAAGCAAAAAGAAAATATTCTTTTATGAATACAAATCAAGATGGAGATATGAATTGAATTAAATCACTAGTGTCACACAACACAACAAGTTGTTACAAAACCCAAACATTAACTTAAATTTCAACCATCAGTTGCACTTGTTGTTTGATCAATGAGTACTGAATGTTTGTTCATAAGCTAATATTAACATTACTATGAGGTGACTAATATTACCATCTGATTCACTGCTAGAGTAAGAAGACCCAGAACAAAGCAATTTCAGCTTGACTACCATTTACCAGGTGCACATTCCTAGAGAAAGACAACTACTTGAATAAAACAGTTGACTCAATTAAATCAATTAACACACATACAGTACTGATAATTACGATGACGAAAATTCAAAGAAAACCTAACAATAATAAGTAATAATTTAAATAAGATAATATAATTTATTATTATGCTAGATCCATCTTCAATAAGCAATGACATCCAACCTAATTACAATTAACAGTAGATAACAGTAGATAAAGTAGAAATAATTATGGGCATCCTATTGTTCATTAATGCCAGAATTGCATTCGTCAAAATATTGTTGAGATTGAATCACAATTATGGCCAATTAGGCTTCCTTGTACAATTTAGTCAACTGTATTATTCAAGTTGTTATCTACCTCCAGGACTGATAAACAGTAGTCAAGCTAAAATTTCTTGGAAGATATATTTGTCAGTTACTCCAGGACAATTACTTCTTTCATTACCTTCTACACAATCTATAAATTGTCTTGATTCACAATCAAATTCACTGCCAGAGTAAGAAGACCAAGATTAAAAATTATTTCTTGGGAGATATCTTGTCAGCTGCCTCAGAACAATCACTGCCTTCATCAACATGTATAAATTGTCTTAAATCACTGATTAACAGCCAGAGTAAGAAGTCCTAAAACAAAGAAATATTGTTAGCAGTTAATCAGAAATATGATATTATGCTTGCAAATAATTAAGACATAACAGTAAAAATAATTGTTTAAGAAGGGCTAGAAAGTGGCTAAACAATCTTCAAACCAAGGTCTTGTATGGGTTTTTATCAGTTTTTCCACTAAAAAAAGATTTTGTTCTGCCAAAAATAATGATGTCCTGCTTGACTTTTTCACAGGTGAAGATATATTTTATGTTGAGTCTCATCTCAAGATGAGTTTTTATTTATTTTTTTTTAAATGCCATGTCCATTCAATACATAGACAATCATGGCTCTCCACAGATTCCATGAATTACCATGACCTCTTGAAAAAGATAACAGAGGGATTTCCTGTCATCTTATTCAGAGTTGTTCTTCTGCCACACAAGGCTCAAGAACATGATCTATTTAACCCATAGCTAGGAGGAGAAGAGATGGTTTCATGCCTTTCCCAAGGATATTAGTGAAAACGAAAACAGAGAGGACAGAGCTTGAACTCAGCTGGATGATTGCACTTCCTGTGCCAATAACCATTTTGTTCTTGGATATCCATTCAACTGAAATAGTAACAGTCACTGAAGGAACTGGTATATGTGCTCCCAGGCTTAGAGACTTTACTATTTAATAGTAACATGGTAGCAGTAGTAATTAGTAATAGAGCTACAATTATGAGAATCATTTTTAATGTTCTGTAAAAATAAATATTTATCTAATATATACAAACACATGTTTAGTATCAGTCTATATCTCTGAGGTGACATATTGTAACTGTAGGTACCTCCACGAAATCGCTAAAAAAAGCAGCATAGCTTGATGAAAAAAGGCGCCAAACGATAAAAACTAAATTTTATTGTCTAAATGCTTATGTTATTATTAAGAGGAAAGACCAAAGTTTTTTTTTTAATTATTTTAAAAAATTTTCCTTCTTTTAGAACATTCTAAATTTTGATTAAAAAACTTTTTTCTATTTGTATCACGGAACTAGTAAATAATATAGACAATTTTTAGCACGTTTTTTTTGGTATGACACACATTAATTTGAAAAATCGTTCAAAAATAGAAATAATTATCGGATGTTAATGAAACTTTCAGAAACTATTCACAGATGATCGAAATTATTATAAATATGTTTTTTTTTTTATGAAAGTCATGGTAGAAATATTTTTTTAAAATATTTATTACCCCCCCATAACTAATTTTATGAAAACGCTAGAAATTCGATCGCATCGGTTTTAGTGATTACAATAATTAAAAGCACAGGGCTTTGAGGAATGCAAATCATGTTTTTTTTTTGTTTTTAATTGGATACGCAATACCTGAAAATCAGCTCTGAATTGTAACATACAAAACTCAATAAAACACATATATTATTTAATTTCAAATGCTTTTATTTGCTTTTAGTTGTTTTTATGAATATGGACAATATTTTCTGAAAGCAAAAAATTTTTCAATGAAAATGAATTTTTTAATACAATTATTTGTTATTTCATTAATTATAATAGATTTTACATTTAAGTTGTTAAAATATTATAAAATTAGTTAAAAGCCGATCGGCTTTCATAAGTGTCCTTATGAGATAGATCTTTTTTTTAGCGCGTTGTAAATTGTATCATTTTGACTAATCAGAAGATACCCAGTAATTAAGAAATGTAATTTTGTGCTTATAATCGAGCTGTAATTATAAAATACGGAAGACCAACCAGAATATAATTAAGTTGCGTTATTTGAGTTAAGCATTGTTCTCCGCTGTTAAGGCCTTTACTTTTTACGAAACACGTGTGGAGAAGTTAATTTGATTTTTCAATTTCAACTGAGAAGGGTACCTACAAGTATCAGTATCATCTTATGAAATTTATATGATCTTATTTTTATATTAATCTCAGTTACGACATTTTTCCATAAATGAAATATCAAAATTAATAATTAATTAAATGAATGCAAATACAAATAACAGTAGAATGTAATAAATGTACATAAAATTATAGTATTTTATGTACAATTCTGATAATATTTCATAAGAAAGGTACCTATAAATTAATTAGATACCTTTCTTAAGAAATATGAAATTTAATGTCACTCTTAACAGTTTTATTTTAATTTCTTTTACAATATATTTCCCATAAAAGCATCATAAACGTAAAGGTGAAAGCTCAGTACAAAAAAAAAAAAAAAAAAAATTAGACCGCTGAAAGTTTTTTAAAAATAACGGGGTAAATAATTTGTTCACGTAAATGTAAATTATTTCACTTTTCTCCTTCCGTAGAACAAATTAGCCTCATGGAATTCGTAAATATATCATTCATCACATGTCAAGAGACGCGAAAGTTTATGACCTGCTTTTGTTTTATTTTCAAATTACATCTTTTTGGCACAAAAGCTAAGTTAAGTTTGGTTCAAAATATTTTAAATAAACATTATAATTTCTGATTTTCTTAAAATAAGTTTTGAAAAAATGATAATTGATATTTAAAAAATTTCAAAGTCAGATTTCCAGTTTTTTTAAAATGGAAAAAAATGGTCAATTTTGCTGACTCAAAAAAAACTAGATTTTTAACAAAAATTTCGGACGTGCTAGGAACGATTAAAAATGGAAAAAATACCCCAAAAAATACTTTGACCTTTCCTCTTAATAATAACAAACATTTAGACGTTAAAATTTTGTTTTCGTCAAGTTTGGCGTCTTTTTCATCATGCTATGCTCTTTTTTTAGCGATCTCGTGGAGGTACCTATGTAACTGTTTACATTGTTCAGACTATTGAACTCATCTTTATGTGCTATATACCATATCTATGAACACTAATGCGTATATTCCAATCCTCATAAATATGTAAGACACTATTGTAAGTGGGGGTAATATGCTGTCTAAGTAGTCCACCACTAGCAGTGGTTTACCTACTTCACAACACTAGTGAGTATTGTATTTTATTGATGTTTTAAAGATAACCATTTCATTTCCAATCTCTATTTTGGTTATTCCTCATTCAGTAACCTTTTCTAGGTTACAACAATTGTCATATTCACAATGTTTCAGCCGTAGTATGCTATGGCCTTCTTCAGTTTGAATTTTGAATTGAACCCTTTATTTAGTCCAGTGGGGTAAATTGTTCTAGCTCCACATGCCATGCCATGCCATGCCTTTTCTGCTGTGGCCAGGTATTGAACTCACAACTCTTTGGATCAAGTCACTTGATTACTTCAACCAACACTTTTATCCACTGGGCTATGTGCCATTGGAGACTAAATAAAGGGTTCAGTTCAAAATTTCAACATATATCACCTGAAGAAGGCCTGTGTACAACGTGTGAAACACTGTGAATATGACAATAAAGATGAGGACAATAGTCCAATGTAAATAGTGTACATATATAGCAGTAATTTAGGCAAGTCTGCTCCACATGACCGCTTAGGGGTAAAGAAACTACCACGTTTTTTAGCTACTGCTAACCAGAGGGCTGACACAGTAATTCTGTTTTGTACTACTAAGTCTGAAATTCTCCTCAAAGACACTATGTGTCCTTCTATCAGTTCTTTGAATTTGTTTCAAATTGTTATTCTTTCTTATTGAAAAGTTTGATTTTCTTTGTGTATTTCTTGGAAATTGATTTTGTTTGTCCATTTCCTCTTTTGAGAGATATATCCATTGTTTTGTTTCCTAAATAAACACCAGTATGAAGCATAAATCTGAGACAAGTGGTCAGTTACAAACAGAACGAGCATTACAAAAAAAAAAAAACCTTTTAATCACAAAAAAAAAAAAATTTTTCATTAATTACTTTGGGTCACCAGCATAGCTGAGTTGAGCAGGTCTTATTCCAAAATGAATGATCAATGGGTAAGTGATAACGTCTGGCTTGAGCTGTTGACGGTCCAACTGGTCAACTCGAATTGAACTTGGTTTCTGGAAAGTTTACACAAACAGTTCAAATGTTAGGTAATAAATAAGAAGAATGAATGAAAGAACTGATTAAATTTTTAATCAGGTGTAATAAAAAAAATTTAATTGTCAGGTTTAATGATAATTTTTCTAGTCGAACATATTCTGATGGTGAAGAAAAAAAACATCATCTTGCAGAATGTAGAGTAATTGGCCATGGTAAAAACGTGATTGTCAGAAATGCCCCAAAAATAGAATTGACAAAGTTTGCAATAAAAAATAAGAAAAGAACAGGGCAAAAATAATACTAAGCAAAAAAACATATTTAAGACAAAAGTAGGCAAAGCAACAATAATGAGGCAAAAAAGTTTACAAACTAAGAATGGTGTTAACACACAAACGGGATACAGACAAGTGATTGCAGCATTCTGATTTCAAGACAAGAAAGAGCAAGAATATGGTGAGACCAATAAGTGGTTTATCTTCTTGGCTAGGAAGAAATCCCAGCATGCATTTGTACAATTTCTCTATAAAGTTGGAGAGGGAGATGTTTTTGCAGTAGTTTTTAAAGGATTGAAACCAAAACAGAAAATCAACATCATTCAGAAAAGAATTTATAGTAATGAACAATTTCATAATTGTGATAATCAGATAAAACTGAAACAACTTTTTTTTTTATTTTAATTTTTATCTCCAATTAAAATTCAAGTAGAAGCAAAAGAATTCTTTCTTTAAAGAATAAAACCAGAATTTTTATTTCTTTATTAGTGGCCATTGTACATAATTCAAATATTTAAACATTACTTGTGTCTTCAGCAATAATAGCCTCTTTACCAATGTGCATGTACAGGGTAAATTGTCATCTAAATTACACAAAAATGAAAATAACACTGACATCTCATTTTAACAGATATATTTACCAAAATTATAAAAAAAAAAATATCTTGAAATACTAAAGAGTAAATTTATTCAATAAAATCGCCATTGGCTTCAACCACAGCCTCCAGACAACTTCAGAATCTCCTGCAACTTTTCTGAAAAGTCTTCTTGTTTAAATTGTTGAATACTGTCAAAAGTCTTTGCCTTCAATTCATCTTTGTGTCTAGCTCAACTACACCCCACACATAATAATCAAGGGGGTTGCAGTGGAGAGTGAGGGGGCCCAGATGTAAGAGGGGGGGATGTGGTCACAGAAATTGTCTGACAGCCATGACTGGGTGCTCCTTTTTGTGTGCCATTGTGCAGAGTCCTGTTGCCAGACATAGGGTCTTCCAGCATCCACCCTCTTGACTCAGGACAGTACTACCTCCTCAAGGCACTTGATGTAGGCCACTGTGTTGAGTCTGAGGCCCTGTTGGAAAATGAATGGAGGCATACCGTCGACATAACTAGTGATCACTCCAAATATCTTCATAATCTCCATTAGATTCATCCAACTCTTTCCCAATCCTCTGCACTGTCCTCAGATAGACACCCAAACACTCTGAAATGTTCATATTGGAGTTTCTGGCATGAATGCCAAGCAGTACAGCATGCCATTTCCAAATTTCTGGTGAAGTGAAGTGTGTCATGATGCTCTTTTTCTCACAGTCAAAAACAAACAACAAATATACAGGAAATTAAAAATATAAAATAGTGACAATTTAACCATCGCACCCTGAATGTGTACTGGTTTTAAATCAGTTCCCATGAACCAGTTTTTTTTAAAATCATTTCACCCCAAGCAAGGAAATAATGCCACTAGGATGCAGAGGGTTACAGAGTGAAAGAGAATAAGACTTTAGTGAGAAGTGAAGAAAAGGACACTAAGGGAAGAGGAAGACAAAAAAATGGCAAATGATGTTGCATTTAAATTTTTGAAAATTGTCAGTTCCACAGGTAAGAAGTTCAAGATAAGAAACTATTAGAATAGAAATGACAGTTGTGTCTAGCTAGCCCAACAGTAAAATGGTGAGACCTAGTTGCCAGTCTAGTAGCACACTTAAATTCATGTAGTCAAGGCACCAAGGAGGAAATATATATATAATATTTTTTTAAAAATATGATTCCTTCGCTACATAAGAGTTCTCATGTTTCGTGTATGGAGCACTGTCTTCTTAAAAATAAAAACAAAAATACTAAGGAACTCCGTATTATTTACCTGACATGTTCCTTCCTATTTTTCTGCATACTTGCACACACACATATATATATATATATATATATATATATATATATATATATATATATATATATGACATTTTTTTGTTTAAGTGTATTTTTATCTAACATTTTTTTTCAGTTTCAGTTTTCTGGACAGAGTTTCATCATAAACTGTCCAATGTCTTCTGAGTGATTTTTCACTTTCATAAGCCATTATTTTTTTGAATGGATTTTTATTAATCCTACAAATCTTTATTACTTTAAAAATTATTTTCTTATTGAAATCTTATTAAATTTTATTATTATTTCTTATTTATTTCTTCTTCTTATTATTATTATTATTATTTATTCTTCTTATTATTTCTTGTTAAAATCTTATTAGAAAAAAAACTTACAATCTCTGACAGGATTCGAACCTGCACCCCTCTGGGCAGAGGAAGTTAACATTAATGCCGACACACTCTGAACATCTGAGCTACAAAGAACCAATCAGTCAGACAAAGCTTGAAATCTATCTTTAAATTCTCTAGTGATAGATTTTTTTTAAATTTTCATAGCTGCACAGTTTTATATCTAAATGTAAACAAAGAGAATTTTTAGAATTGATTTTTTATTAACCCAACAGATTTTTTAATCACTTTAAACGTTATTTTTAGTGGATACTCATATCTGAGTGCATTTCAAGCTTTGCCTGACAAATTGATTCTTTGTAGCTCAAATAAAAGTATCCAGTAAAAATAAGCCATTATCAAATAATTTTTAAGGGATTAGAAAGATTGTGTCTATATTTGGTCTTTCTTTAGTGATTTGGGATCTCTTGTGCTTTCTTTAATTGTGAAATACTTTTAGTATGTTTGTTCTAAAACAAACTGAAATTTTATTGCTACCAAGTTCTTTTTTTACTGGATAAGTCTTCTAATATCTGTTGTGTTTTTCTTTTTATCACTACATTCAGTAACCCTCTACTTTGAGAAGTTCTTGAGCCTTGTGTTGGATGAACAAATGGTATACAAAATAAAAAATCTTCAAGAACTTTTTGAAACTTCCAGTGAGAGTCAAGCTGAGAAACTTACTTCAGATTCAACTCACCTTTCGGTATAAATGGTCTGCTTTGGTTCCACTACAGGACCCCCCCCCACCTCACCTTGAAAGGGTACAAATTAAGGCAACACAAGCAGGTGTTTGGGTTACCATGGACAATCACACAAATGTATTCAACTAAATAAACATTAGCAGAGATAAGATCTTTTTTGCATTCCTAGATGCATTTTTTTTTAAGTTTCTTAAAGTTTCCCCAGTATATTGTAAGGAACAGTTGTGACAGTTTATTTCATACATACCTGCTTGAGAATTTTTATTGTTATGGATAATTTTAGGTTCTAATCCCATCCATAATAGTTTTGAATGTGATTGTAATTATTTTGATATTGTTAGGATTGGATGAAATGCTTTGGATAGTAGATGTTAGTAGATAGTATTATATATCAGTATTTATCTAGTTTATTGTCATTGTTGCAGTCAATAAAGTCCTTATCTTGTTTGTGATTGTATATTTTGTATGACTTTCTGTTAAGGGAGACAACTCTCTCCTAATGAATCACTGACTCTTCACAGAAAAAGACTAGTATCAGACAATATGGTTGCTGAACAATACACCACCTGTAAACAGTGAATTGTTTATCCAACCCAATCCTGCTGTATCTTGATCAGTGAGAATAAAAGCGAATATTGTTGTTTTAAAATATACTTAACTGTGTTTTGTTATATTTTGTTCTTAATATTTTGGGTTACAACATTTTCTCTTAACAGAGGTAATTTAAAGGTTTTGGTACTCATTCAAATTCAAAAGGACAAAGAAGTAGTCTGAAATTCCACAACAGTTTGAATGAATAAACCAAGTAATATGTTCAAAATTCCCCAAATTTTGGAAATTACATTGTAAGTCTGTGGATAAGTTACCAGCAAAAATCTGAAAAGAACCCGATCTGCTCCTTTTGCAAAAACAAACTCAACCAAATTTCTAGTCATTGAATTTTCTATAAAAAAAAACAAAACAAACAAACAAACAAGAAAACCTCACCATGCCAGGTTTGCTGACAATCATGCCTCGTACTTCGTCAACCAGATTTTGCCATTCATTGTTGTCATACTTAAGAAGTTGAGCCAATTCAGTTTCTTCCAGAAGAGCCTTGGAACTATTCAGCAGATATAACAGCACTTCATTCATAGACAAAATCTCTTTTCCATTATCTGACAAAAAAAATAATATATATATTAACACAATGGTAATATTACCCATTTCCTTATAAGGAAACTGTTATATACCATACCTATGAAAACTAATGGGTATATCCCAATCCTCATAAATACGTTGGACAGTGGGGGTAATATGCTGTCTAAGTAGTCCACCACTAGCAGTGGTTTACCTACTTCATGCCACTGACAAGTGTTGTATTTTGTTGATGTTATAAAGATTAACATTTCATTTCCAACCTCCATTTTGGTTATTCCTCATTCAGTAACCTTTTCTAGGTTATGATAGATAGATAGATAGATAGATAGATAGATAGATATAAACAGTCTGAGAGAGATAGATATATATAAACAGTCTGAGAGAGATAGATATATATAAACAGACTGAGAGAGATAGATATATATAAACAGACTGAGAGAGATATATATATATAAACAGACTTAGATAGATAGATAGATAGATAGATAGATAGATAGATATAAACAGACTAGATAGAGATAGATAGATAGATAGATAGATAGATAGATAGATATAAACAGACAGAGATAGATAGATATATATAAACAGACTGAGATAGATAGATAGATAGATAGATAGATAGATAGATAGATAGATATAAACAGACTGAGATAGATAGATATATATAAACAGACTGAGATAGATAGATATATATATATAAACAGACTGAGATAGATAGATATATATAAACAGTCTGAGATAGATATATATATATATAAACAGTCTGAGATAGAGATAGATAGATAGATAGATATAGATATAAACAGAGATAGATAGATAGATAGATAGATAGATAGATAGATAGAGATAGATAGATAGATAGAGATTATATAGCTGTACCTATGAACACTAATGGCTATGTCCTAATCCTCATAAATACGTTGGACACTATTTTAAGTGAGGGTAATATGCTAAGTAGTCCACCACTAGCAGTGGTTTACCTACTTCACGCTGCTGGTGAGTATTGCATTTTGTTGATGTTATAAAGATTATCATATCATTTCCAACCTCTGTTTTTGGTTATTTCTCATTCAATAATCTTTTCTAGGTTACAACAGAAACATTTAGCATTAATAGACTGAGCAGCCAGTACAGTTGTCAGTTGAAATTTATCAAATCTTTCTATTAAAATAATTTTTCAGGAAAATAAGTTTTTCAAGTCTACTATTATTGCTCTTTCCAGTAGTGATGAGGGCTTCCTTCCTAACCTTTTGTTTGAAGTACTGTGGAAAATGTCAACATCTTGATTAGGTCATTGTTTACTCTTTGAGTTACATGTTAAAAGTCTTCAAGTGATGTGGTTTCTGTTATTTGGTACAGATCTTTGTGATATTAATCCACAATGTTCAAAGAAGAATGGTCTTCACTAAGAACCACAGACTTCTCTTTCTAAGAGAAAACGTTAATATGAGAAAGAGGCTCTATACAACTGACAGCTTAGAGATTTCTGAATGAGACTGGCGCCATGCATGACATCCATATGAGAATCTCAATGTGATGAGGATATTTAAGAACCTGACTCGAGTTACCACGTTAATGTTTTAGTTTTGTAGCAATTTGGTGTGTTGTGCAAAACTCTATGTAAGGGGGATGAATGTTCAAATGCTGCTGAAAACCACATTTCTTTATTGAAGATTCTCAAAAAACCCAGACAAGTAGATAAAAATATACTGTTTAGAAAAAACCTGTGATATCTACTCAAATACATGTCTCCACTAAATATAGGAACAAGAAATAATGTCGGATTATGGATAAAAATCCATTAAAAAGAGGGTTGAGGAGTGAGTGTAAAGTGAAAAATTTGACAAAAAGGACGAATGACCACGACATTCTACACATATGCATATATATGCAGATGGGCACACAGCACATGCACAAAAAAAAATCTTGCAATGAAATGTGTATATAAAAAAGAAAAATCGAGAAGTATAGCTGTCAATTGCTGATAACCCACTGAGGAGTGGATGGAGTGAATCCCGGAGAGACCATCAACGAAACTCTGGAGTCAGGATGCTGTAGCTAACAACCAGCTAAATCTTTTACTTGTATTAATTATTTATATATATATATATATATATATATATATATATATACATATATAAATTCCTCACCGGTAGCACAACACAATCTCCAGACGCTGATCAATAATTTTATTAATTATTTATATATATATATATATATATATACATATATAAATTCCTCACCGGTAGCACAACACAATCTCCAGACACTGATCAATAATTTTATTAACACCAGCACTCAATGTGTGATATATATATATATATATATATATATATGAAGAAATGTAGTTTTAGGTGTGCTATATTTATGGAATAAATTGCTCAATATCAGAGATAGAGCATATGTAAATATAAAAGTGTACATTGAAGTCAACTCTCAGAGGCAACAGGCTGTTTCATGCTAAACGCAAGATGTGGCTTGATGATTGCATTCAGCATGAAATAGTCTGTCACCTCTGAGAGATGACTTCAATGTTCACTTTATATATATATATATATATATATATATATATATATATATATATATATATATATATATATTGTTTGACAGGCAGAATTAACACCATCACTATCAAAAATCAGCATTAACACCTTCCTTATGACAAGCAGAATTAATTCAATATGACAATTATAAGAGAAAAGTAAAATTTCATTCTGTTTGATGTACATCAATAAATGATTAATTTGCTTTTTTTATGGCTTATCAACCCTTTGTGGGTTATTTAAAGCCAAAATATATTTTGGATTGTAAAAAGTTGTTTATAGTACCCAGTATTCCCAAGTAGTTCCCCATCTAAGTACTGACTTTGCTTAACTTTGGTGATTAAATGAGAAACAGTGTTTTCAATGCTACATCAATAAATCCCCTTCCTTGTATAATTTTATTTTTTTTACCTAAAATCATAAAATGAAAGAGAATTATTGATGTTAATTCAAACTGAATAAACAACTTCTACTTTTCTCTTTCTTAGACAGTGCTTGGACACAATCCAAAAAATCTTAAATATTTTTTTATTAATTCCCCCCAAAATAAATAAATAAATAAATAAAACAAAATAAAGAAATAAAGAAAAAAAATGAAAAAACACATGCACACAAACACCGCTCATCTTTTACTTAAAATTTGTAGACATTGTCTTTCAAAATATAATTGATTCTAGCAACAAAAAAAAAAAAAAAAAAAAAAACTGCATTTACACCTTATGGAACTGATCAATATTTGTGACTTACCTGGAAGCTCTCGTGCAAACCGAGGCATCAGGTGGAAACGACTGCAGTTGATCTCACTTTTTGTTGGGCCCTTCCAGTCGAGATCAACCAATTCAAGAATTTCATGGAATAGGAAATAGCACACTTGGTCAAGCGATCTCACTGTAAAGTTCTGTGGAAAAGAAAAAGAAAATAGTTTCATTGGGAATATATTCCAACATAATATCTTTAGAATATGTAAATAAAATAATAATAATAATAATAAAACAAATTAAAATATTACCCATAATACTCATAGAAATTGTTACAGGAGTCACAACTTTTGTTGCAAGGATGGGAGGGATTTATTTTCATGCCCCTTTGTACATTTTTCCTGCAAACAATATTTGGCAAACTCATGTCAGTTTGAGTAAAAATAGTTAAAGAAATTTGCTGTTCTCATCGATATGAATCAATCTGGTGAATCAGAATATAAATTTAACATTCAAAATGCAGGTGTCCCCCAGGGCTCTATCCTTGGCCCTACTTTGTTTTTAATTTTCATCCCACATCCTTCCCGATGACATCAGCTCTCAACTTGGTATCTGTGCTGATGACACAACCAACCTGTCTCAATACTAAGTCTGATCAGTTCCATAAACTCATATTGGTGGCTGATGTCAAAAACAATCTACAGTCTGTTGTTAGCTGAGGCAAAGAATGGCATGTTAATTTTAATGCTCTAAAACAAAACTGCTCTCTATTAAACATTTCAGAGACCCCTTTCTGCCTTCTATCATTATGGCTGATGCTAACCTTTAAGAGAGTGATTCATGCCTTTTCAGGTTAACATTCTCGGCTAACATGAAGTGGAAAGACAACATTGAATCCCTTGCTAGGTCAGCTGCTAAGAAAGTTGGTTCACTGAGTCATTGCTACACAATTTTACTCTTTAGAATCTATCTTACATTTTTATAAGTCTATCATTCACCTGTGCTTAGAATATTGCTGCCACATAAAGTCCAGTGCTCCTGCTATATATTTAGAGATTCTTTATAAAATCTAAAGAAAAATCAGCAATATTATTGGTCCTGACCTGACATCTCGACTTCAGTCACTTTCCCACTGCTGTAAAGTTGCTTTCCCTGTGCCTTTTCTAAAAATTGTTCAGATGGGCTCCTTGCTATGATACCTAGACTTTACGAATTTAAGCACAGTACTAGACTGGCAGCAAGGTCTCATCAATTTACAATTGAATTGGCTTGATGTAACCGTAAGTTCTATACTAACAGTTTCTTTTCTCACACTTCTCGCTTGTGGAACTCCCTTCCAGTTCCATGCTTTCCAGCCAATTTTAATTTTCAAAAATTTAAAAGCAATGTCAATCATTATCTACTGTCTTCTCGATTACTCTTTTATTGCTCTCACTCTTTCATAATGTTTCTGTTTTCTAATTCTTTCACAACCAGTAACTCCAGTGTTTTAGTGTCTTTACTGCTTTGCGTGGGGTAAATTTTAAAAAAATTAAAAAAGTAAAAATAAACTATGAATTCCAAGAACAAAGGGGAGGTCAAGAATATAAATAGCTGAAAATTTAATCATCTTACTTCAGGCATTTTCTCTTCAAAGAAATGAATGGTGTATTCTATGTTGAAACGAATCACTTTACACACAGGGACCTATAAATGTAAAACAAAAGTAAAATAATGAAAGATTAAAACATAAATCAAGTGCAAATAATTAAAATATCTAACAAGAGTTGTAGAAATTTAATAATGTACCTTTAAAATATTTAACATTAGAACACAAAGAAATTCATATATTTTAATATGCAAAAAATATTATTTACACTTTTAAATTTGGCCTTCGCTGATTAAAATAAATAAAATTTTTTTCAATCTTGTTTAAATGCTTCTTTTCGTTTTTTCTCAGATTTTGTAGAAATTGAAATTGTTATAATTAGTGTCAACCTTTAAAATGCCCCCCCCACACAAAAAGTCATTTTCAGAAAAATATGTACATTGATGACACTCAGTTTCATGCAAATACGCACACTTCAAACTGTAGGATATTATGTATATTCACTACTATGTATTTTTAGGAAACGGATTAAATTCAATATATTTTTAATTTATTTGTCTAAACATTATTTCAAATGGATATTCATAGGACTCATAGGACCTCCTGATCAATATTCAGGCTTTGTTCAAAGTCCAAATAGTGACCAGGAGGCCCTAAATGGTCAAGTGGTCTAACACATGTCAGATCAAATGGCAGTTTCCCCAAGGAGACACAGGTTCCAATCCTGCTGGAGAGCACATATTTTTCTAACAAGATTTCTCAAATATTCCGTCCGGTAGACGTAAATAAATAAATATACCGTTTAATAAATAAATTAAAAAACAGAGCATCTCCTCAAATATGAGTATTGATTTAAAATAATAATATAATATATATATATATATATATATAAATATTGTGTATTTAGGCATCAATCATTTATAAATGTTTCATTAAAGACAACAGACAAGGTACTACAGTTAAGCTTTTTATTTAATTTTTCTTGTGTTCAAACAAGTGTTTTCTTTTTTTGACACAGAGTGTGTAAAAACTGTCTAAATATTCTATAAATTCCGAGCGCTTTCGGCTATACTTTTAGCCATTATCAAGGATGATTTTATTTTTACTTTTTAACTGGATGTATGAGTTGTGTGTATGTATCTAGAGTTATAGGGATGTTTATATTGTGGCCATCTTTGTAGCTAATATTATTAAGTGTTGGCTTTTTCTTTTTTATTATTATTAAGGCTTCCATTATTTTTTATCTTTTTTTTATATGTGGATGAGGTTATTAAGTTGGTATTTTCTAGTATATTTTGGATGCGGTCTGGTAAGTTTGTTTGTGTCTGTGTTTAAATGGGTTCTGATGGAGCTGTGGTCAGATAGGTGCAACAAGTCATCTGGTTAGGCATGCAGTAGTGTGACCAATGTAATTATTTATGAGTTCAGTTTAATCAGGAACAGATTTCCTTAAGGAGAATTTGAACTTGTAAAAATAAAAATTAAATAAAAAGCTTAATCGCAGTACCTTGTCTGTTTTCTTTAATGAAACATTATATATATATTATAAATTAATTGATTTAAAATATGTTTTTTTTCAGCGAAATAAAAACATATTTTAAATCAATTAATTTATAATATTAATGCTCTGTAAATTTACATTGAGCACTATTTTGTAAAAATAAAAATATCTATAAGAACACCGGATTATATATCTTACTGTTCTTTCTTTTTATATATATATATATATATATATATATATATATATATGGTGGACTCTCCTGTCATATTCGATGTATGAAGGTCAAGCAGCTCAGTTCCAAGGAACCGACAACCCAGACACCAGCACATATCATATGATTTATAGTGGTGAAGGCTTTGTGCAGAATCGACCACACTTTTTGAAGAGCCAAGTACAGAGACCTGGTGCACTACGTGCCACATGGTCCCCAAATGACCCTCTGCAGGTTTTGAATTCAGAGTTGTCCTTCTCCTAGACCAGTTGCCATCCAACGCTGTCCTGCTATTTACCCAAACCTGGACGAAGAAGAGGAGGATTAATACTTTTCCCAAGGGTATTAGCACGTAAGTGAATGTAATGGATTCAAATGGAATTCGAACTCAGCTCTCCATTTCCTCAATCCAAGCCACTATCCACTACTACCCCATACCTCTCTCTCTATATATATATATATATATAAATAATATGTGAGAAAAACTTACATTTTCAAGTTGATAATGAGACAAAAGAGAAAAGCCTTCAAATATATACTCATGGTTGTCATGTTCTATGATGGTAGGATTTTTACTCTGCAATGAAAAGAAAAAGATTTTAATAGATTTAAATTATGTATAATAAAAGGTTAACACAATGATGCAATCAACAGTGACAGGAAAAGCATGTTTTGGTTGATGCAATAATTTATACCTGTCTATATTTCTGAGATGAGATATTGTAATTATTTACATATTTACTTTGTTCGGACTGTTGTCCTCATCTTTGTTGCCATTTTCACAATGTTTCAGCCATTGTACATTCTAATCTTCCTCAGGCAATTGGAATTTTGAACCGAACCCTTTATTTTGTCCACTGGGGTAGATTGTTCAAGTTCCACATGCCATGCCTCTTCCAGATATCTCAATTTTAGTTAATTCCCTTTAACCCACCTCTCCAAGTTTTTGTTCACTTTTTTTTTTTAATCATTTCACCCCAAGCAAGACATCATATTCAAAGAGTTAAAGAATAAGTCCCTGTTTATTTTATGACAATGGTCATCCCAAAAGTAATGTCTCCTATTTTGATATTCGTGAGCCAATATAATAAAGGTGGTTGTTAGCAGTTTCACCGTAGAGGCTGAGCCCTCCTACCAAGAATCAATATTTTTTTTTTTGTTTTGCTTTCTTACAGACAGCAGCTATGCAAGATTCTGGCAAAATGGCGTCTGTCATGAAAGTGTGTATGAAGCAAAAAAAGTGTCATTGAATCCCTACATGCAGAAAAATTGCACCCAGTGGTGTTCATCAACATTTACTGAATGCTTAGGGTGGATGACAGCACGGTTAAGCAGTGGGTAATATGCATCAACATTGGCAACAGCAATGTATATGAAATTGTGGGTCACTTCGAATGGTACGGATTTTAACAAATGCAATATGCAGGCTCTATCACACTGTGGGGAAAAATAGTATTTGGTAGCTGAAAACCTGCTCCAGCCAACAGTCTTATTGTAAACTGTTTCACTTTCCATAGAAATAAATAGGAGGCATTACTTTTGGAGCATCTCCTCATAAAATCTTTTATATTATTTAAATTATTTCCATTATATATACTGTATAGATATACCATTTAGAATTTAATAATTCTCTTATATATTAAATTTGCTGCTTAACATGTAGTGATTAGTTGAATTGGATGTGAAATTTGTACTGTGTGGCTTTTCATTGCTGGCATCAATATTTACCACTTGAATTAAGTGCATCGACAAGAAAGGAGATTACAATGAGAAATAAATATTTACTATATAAATTATTTTTTTTTTATCATGACTGAACTGATTAATGTACTTATGTGTGTGTGTGTATATATTTGGTTGGATTGATGTGAGTTTTGATCTTGTTTCACGCTTTTTGTGAAAAACCCAGGGTCACAAAACTCACATCAATCCAACCAAATATGTTAGCTCTATCTCTGATATTGAGCGCTTTTAATAAGTACTGCATATAATTATATATATATATATATATATATATATATATATATATATATATATATATATATATATTTTATTTATATACACACACTTTTCATATATATATGTGTGCGTGTGTTTTAAAAATAGGATATATAATCCTGACTAAGTTTTTAAAAACTTTTGACAATTGGAAATGTTCATGAAAGTAGATTTGTTTAGAACTATATACACACACACAAACACACACAACCTGACCCACTTTCCCCAAATATTTTCTTTAATTCCTATATACTTGTGTTTGTGAAGAAAAAAAAATCTTTATTTTTTTTAAAATTTATATAAGGATTTAGTAAAATGAACAAATTAGATTTAAATTATAGCAGACACATTCTTAGCCCATATTAAATTAATCAGTTTCAGACTAAACAAAACCTCTTTTTATTGAAAATAAGATTTGATATTCCAACTGAGAGGATACCAATAATATGCAAAGTTTCATCGTTTAAGCATTCATAGTTATTAGAATTTGTATTCTAGTAACACACATTCAAATTGAGTCAAACATTTTTCTGTTAAATATTTTCACGCATTTTGTGTCTATTACTACAGCCACATGGGTCCTAGCAGAAGTCAGAGTAAAATGTATCATTAAGAATGTTTCTAAACAATTTCTTGTTATAGGAAAATTATCTTCATTCAAAGAAACTAGACTAAAAAAGAAAATTAAAAGAGACGAGTCTGATTTTTACTTTAACTGTATCATTGTAGAAATGATTTTAACTAATTTCAACTCGTTTTTTTTTTAAATCTTTTAATAATTATAGATTAAATGTGCCATTAAATGTTTTAGTATTAATTTACCAAGGAAAGGGGATATAGTCAAATAGCTCACTCATATATTAATTGTAATCGACTTTGAGATCATGGTATATTCATTCCCCACAGACTCATGCAATCTTATAATCATCAACAAGATTTGAGGTACAAACAATCTCTGTCACTTAGATCAGAAAAAAGAAGAAAAAAAATGAGTGAGAAAAAGAGGAGAGAAAAGGGAAAGGAGAGAGAAAAAGGAGAGAGAGAGAAAAAGGAGAGAAAAAAGAAAGAAGAGAGAAAAAGGAAAGAAGAAAGAAAAAAGAGAGAGAGAAAACGGAGAGAGGAGAGAAAAAGGAAAGAAGAGAAAAAAGGAAAGAGGAGAGAAAAAGGAAAGACGAGCGAAAAGGGAAAGAAAAAGGAAAGAGGAGAGAAAAAGGAAAGAAGAGAGAAAAGGAGAGAAAAAGGAAAGAGGAGAGAAAAGGGAGAGAAGAGAGAAAAGGGAAAGAAGAAAGAAAAAGGAGAGAAAAAGGAAAGAAGAGAGAAAAAAGAGAGAAAAAGGAGAGAAGAGAGAAAAAGGGAAAGAAGAGAAAAAAAGGAGAGAAGAGAAAAAAAGGAGAGAAGAGAGAAAAAGGAGAGAAGAGAGAAAAAGGGAAAGAAGAGAAAAAAAGGAGAGAAGAGAAAAAAAGGAGAGAAGAGAGAAAAAGGAAAGAAGAGAGAAAAAAGAGAGAAGAGAGAAAAAAGAGAAAAAAGGAAAGAAGAGAGAAAAAAGAGAGAAAAGGAAAGAAGAGAAAAAGGAGAGGAGAGAAAAAGGAAAGAAGAGAGAAAAAAGAGAGAAAAGGAAAGAAGAGAAAAAGGAGAGAAGAGAGAAAAAGGAAAGAGGAGAGAAAAAGGTAAACATTAATAATAATAATAATGGGACTTTGCCTTTCATACTGGCAGAAATATAAATGCTAACAGTCTAGACATAAAAAAATACTTCCACATTGATATGGCAGTGCCATCAGATAAAAAATATGTCTATTAAAGAATATGACAAAAAAGTAAATATAAGGATATTGAAATTAATAAAAATATGGCACCTTAAATCTCCTGTTATACCTGTAATAATTAGAACCCTGTCTACAATCACAAAAAGGTACAGGCACAAACATTAACAAAATCTCTAGCAGCTTTTGTTAACAAAAAACTCAAAAATTGCACTTTGTGGAACTGCTTTTCAAATCAGAGGAGTATTATCAATGCCAAGAAAATATAAACATTCTACATGTTACGTGTTACGTATCACTTAACATCATAATTTTTGCAAACAGAATGTATATATTTACTAACTTACCTTACTCTAGGAATGGTAAGGGATTGTTTTAAAAGATGAAGAAAGGGAAGTAACTCAAAAAAAGAAAAGAAGCGAGGAAAGAGGAGAGAAAAAGGAGAGAGGAGAGAAAAGGGAAAGAAGAAAAAAAAGGAAAGAGGAGAGAAAAAGGAGAGAGAAGAGAGAAAAGGGAAAGAAGAAAGAAAAAGGAAAGAGGAGAGAAAAAGGAAGAGGAGAGAAAATAGTAAGAAGAAAGAAAAAGGAAAGAAGAGAGAAAAAGGAGAGAGAAGGGAGAAAAGGGAAAGAAGAAAGAAAAAGGAAAGAGGAGAGAAAATAGTAAGAAGAAAGAAAAAGGAAAGAAGAGAGAAAAAGGAGAGAGAAGGGAGAAAAGGGAAAGAAGAGAGAAAAAGGGAAAGAAGAGAGAAAAAGGAAGAGGAGAGAGAAAAGAGAGAGAAGAGAGAAAACGGTAAGAGGAAAGAAGAGAGAAAAAGGAAAGAGGAGAGAAAAGAGAAAGAAGAGAGCTAAAAAAGTTTTAAAAGATTAAGAAAGGGAAGTAACTCAAAAGAGAATAAAAGCATTGGTTGAAGTAATCCAGTGACTTGACACAAAGAGTTGTGAGTTCAATACCTGGCCACAGTAGAGGTGAACAAAAACTTGGTGAGTTTAGTTACTAAAAGGAATTAATTGAAACTGAGATATCCAAAAAAGGCATGGCTCATGGAAATTAGAACAATCTACCCCCAGGGACTAAATAATGGGTTGGGTTTGAAATTCCAATATATATCACCAGAAGAAGGCCGGAACGTACAACGGCTAAAATGTCATGAATATGGCAATAAAGATATGGACAACAGTCTGAATAGTGTAAATAGTTACAATACCTCATCTCAGAAATATAGACAGGAGAAAAAGATTTTATATATATATATATATATATATATATTTTCTTTTGACATTTTTTGAAATGTGAACTGAAAGCATAGAAAAGATCGATGACTACAATGGTTGAAAGTACAAAATCCTAAAAGTTTGAGAATGACCAGTAAGAAAAGTAAGAAAAGCCATTACAGTACCAGTGATCATTGGAGCACTGGGCTGTTGTATAAAAAACATGAAAAAGAAATCTTGTAGATATTGGATTCTGATTTGGAAATAGAGTCATTACAAAAACCTTGCCTGTTCGGAAGAGCATGGATACTTGTAAAAGTACTGAGTACAGCCTATCGGTGAAAAGAAGAAACGATTGGTTTATTTTCTTAAGGGTTCATAGATGACCTGAAAATAAACTTCTTACCAGCAACTAACAACATATGCTGTGAGGAGGCATAATAATAATAATAATGACTGTCATAAGATATAGAATTTCTTGGTTCAAACAGATTTTGTCACTGAAACACGAAGGCCCGACTTTATTGTTCTAGTTAAGGAGAGTAGCAAGTGTCAAATTATTGACTTTGCTGTTCCATATGATATTAGAGTGGACTGCAAAAAATCTGAAAATATTGAAAAATACCAGGATCTGGCTCGAAAGCTGAAGAAGCTATGGAACATGACCGATGAAGTAATTCTTGTTGTAATGGGTATGACTGGAACACCACCACAGAACAGGAAAGAACAATTAGGAATTGAAATTGGAATTGAGACCATAATTGTAGATCTCCAGAAAACTGTGATCATTTATTCTGCAAAGATTCTCAAAAGAGTTGTCTCACTGGAACCATGCCTCAAGAAAAAACAGAATTTTCATTGACTACATCAAAGTGCAACACCAAAATTAAAAAAATAAAAATTGTAGTTAATAAAGTTCACCAGATAAAAAAAATAATATTCAGACAATGAGAATTTGTTTTAACTATTTGAAGATTACTAGATTTGAAAAAAACCTGAGGAAGTCTAGAGAACCGATCAGCCAAATTTTAATAATGAAAAAAATAAGTAAATAATGAAGATTAGAATCCAAATGATTCCATAATATTTTTAACAAGGTAACTAATACTTACTAAAAAGTTGGTTGGAGGTGACATGGTTATGTGATAATGATACAATCTGTTGGCATTATTACTTTCATCAATACAAGGATTTATTGGCTGCAATAAATAAAAGAATTAAGCTTCATAAAAAATATTTAAGATATTCATAACATAATAGGGTGCACACAAAAAATATTAGGTTAAAAGGAAAATCCTGTCACATTTGAAGATGGAAAAGAAACAAATGCTTCTTTGGTTTGAATTAATATATTTAATCAATAATATATTTCACCTCATTATCGATAACATAATCCCATCTATTTGGTAAATTGTTGATTCCTCAGTTGTAAAAATTCTTCAAGTTTTTATAGAAAGAAACACTTGATGTGTTTTAACCTATTGACAATTATAGACTATTTTTAATTGAAAAAAACGACTGTAAATATGATAATCAAATGTAGCAAGATCAAGAGAGTAAGGAAAACTTCCATATTTCATGCCATAATCTTTCTCTGAGTAACTCGAGCAATTCTGTATTATTGTGTGAGAGAAAAACACTTTTACAATTAACCAATAATGGCTGCTTTTACTGCAAATTATTTTGCAATGCTTCAAATTGATTACACAGTACTTCTCTGCATTAATTGTTTCATTATGAGTTAGCACATCATGATAAATAGCACCCTTCTTATCCCAGCAAGCATAACTTTTTTCAGGTGTAGTCCCCCCCAAAAATTTCCTTTTACAGTGGTTGCTAACAATTTTTGTTGAATGATTAGCCATGGTCAGATGCAAAAGAAATAGCAGAACTGTCCAACATAAAGAATTAACAAAGTTTGCAATAAAAAGAAAAAGGAACTGGGCAAAAATGAAATAATATAAAGCAAGCAAACAATATATGCAAAACAAATTAACAGGTAAGAAGGCAAAAGATTCACAAACTACGAATTGGCATCTACACACAAAGCAAAGGTCAGACAAGCGAATGCCGTGGTCTGTCTTCTACACAAGGCAGATCTGGACTGAAGTTATTTACCTCGTCTCCCCACAAGGCAGGATGTGGCACAAGGCCGTTTTTTATATGGGGCGATTCCGAGACTGTAGGCTTGAGCAAATAATCCTTGTAGACCCTGTATACACAGGATTGGGATTGTCTACCTCCCCAGACTTAATTCTGCTCTTTGGCATGGCTTCATCTGGGTTCCTCTCTGACTTTGGGCAGAGAGTTTGACAAGTCATTCCGAACCACCTGAATCAGCAGATCTGGACTGAGTCATGTCAAACTGTAAACTGGTCTATTTTGTTGGCTAAGAAAAATATCCCAGCATGCATTTGATTTGTGGACATCTCTCCTATAAAAGGGAATAGGGAAATGTTTTGCAGTCATTCCTAATATAGATTGAAATCAACAATTTTCATTGAATATAATTACAGGGAACCCACTTTTTATCACTGGTGATGATTCTATTCGGCTGGTTGGATGATTTTGTTTAGCAGTATATCAACATCTATGGATTATTTAATGCCGAAATCTAAATATTTTGAACACAATTTTATGGCTTCAACTAAATATACTTTGAACGCAATTGTTTGCCTTCAACTACAGATAAAATGTATTGATGGCAATTTTACTATAAATAGGTATTGTTGGTAATTTTAATATAAAAATGTTTTTTTATACTTTTGTTTTTTGTGGTGGGGTTCACTATTTGTCCATAACTGGGACCCTTACAGGTGCTGCCAACCCAAGTCAGGATGAACCTGGGAACAACAACAATTAAAAGGGAGTTCTAAATTTTTAAAACCCCCAATCTCCTGATCAGAGGCCTTATTGCCAAATGTAGTTTATTGTCATACCAAGGACTAGATTCTACTCAGGGAAAGGTTTGGTAGTAAGTCTATTCTTCAATGACAAGCAGACAGCGTATCTTTGATTAAGCTGAGAAACATTCAGATTTTGAGGAACCAATTTACCAAATTTAGACACTTTTCTGAGCTTATGAAGGTGTTTATGATCGAAGTGTGACTTGTATTAAACTCTTTTGCTAATTCTAGTGCAGCTTGCATAGGATTTTCCTTGCATACGTTTTGAAGAAGCTCAATGTGTACAGAACTTGGTCATCCAGATCAAGGTGAATCTTCAAGAGAAAAATTTCCCCCAGTCGAAACTGGTCAAAAGCTTCATCTCTATAGACAAATTAACTATTTCTTTTCACTTACATTGTGATACTATGGGCACACACATAGAAAGGGAAGAAACGATTTATTCTCAATTTTAAGTGTTTCTCTTTGATGGACCAACAGTTTGTTCCTTTTGAAGTTCAGTACTCTAAGCGGCATACACTTTGACCAAAGGGGAATGGAAACTAAAGACGGGGACTATGGGTCATTAGAGATCAAGTGGCAAGAAAACCGGAAATAGGATATATCCGGGTGCTGGTCTATATTAACAGTCATACTTGGGATTGGATAAGAGTTCTGGTCCACTCTTAGCAGGAGATGAACTTGTCTATCGTGCAGTTCATTTGGCAGCCACCACATAAGAATGAGTAGATGGGCAAGGAGTTGATAGGAGGAAAGGGATGAGCTGTTAGACTAACATAGCAGAAGTTGTCCCAAGTATCACCTACCTACCAACCCAAACAAGCAAGAGAAGCCCTGAATAAAAAAAAAAAAAAAAAAATCTATCTTATAATATGGGAAACAGTGTTCACATTCTTATACCTCAATGTGGTGTTTGTCTTTCATCTTGTTACCTTGCAGGCAGCAGCAGGCCTTTTCCCAGTTTTCAGTGCAGGCCACAAGATCAAGAATTGATATGTAATGTAGCATTAATCATTGGCTGATCAGTGGTAATCTTGGATGAGGGTGTTGTTGCAGGTTTAAACATTGTTGAAAGGTCTTTTTTATCCTTTTTTTAATTCATAGTTTATTTGTTTGCTTAACAGTATATCAACTCCTTATGGGTCATTTAATGCCAAAATTTAATTTTTTGGGGAACATCAGTAATATCAGTATCTGTCTATATTTCTGAGATGAGGTATTATGTACATTATTTACATTATTCAGACTATTGCCTTCATCTTTGTCGCCATATTTATTACAATGTTTTGGCCATTGTACACTCCAGCCTTCTTCACATGTCGAATTGAATCCTTTATTTCACTCAGTGGGGTAGAATGTTCTAGTTCCACGTGCCATATTTAATGGATGTCAGTTGTCAGTTATCTCCTGTTAATTCCCCTCTCCAAGTTCTCCACTGCCTTAACCAGGTATTGAACTCACACTCTTTGGGTCCTGTCAATCGATCTAACTAACACCTTTATCCACTGTGCCATGTGTCCTTGAGGACATTCATAGTCTGAATAATGTAAATAGTATTAGTAATATCATTTACAAAAATCTATTTTTGTTTACAATGAAAATGTATTGCTAGTATTTTTACTGTAAAAATGTACTTATATACTTTCATAGTATTTTGACCCCAGTTTGGGAACGGTTAACTATTTGCCAATAGTTGAGACCCTAACAGGTGCTACCACACAGGGTCATGGTGGACCTGGGAGCAACAGCAATTAAGAGATGGTTTCACGCTCCCCAAAACATACTATAGCAACGCTGAGCAAATTAGTCTTAGATACCATTGCTAATGTAGTGAGTTTAATACTTACTGGGTACCTAATTAAATGAATCCTTATATTGGTAAATATCTAGAAGAAATATCTGCAAAAAAAAGATCTTTAACTAACCTCTTCACCAGGAAAGATATTGTGCCTGATTCCTGTTTTTCGAGCCTTAAGACTACATCGACACAAAGGACCATCATTCATCTGTAAAAGAAAGATAGGAAAAACAAATATGAAAATAATTTATCATAATTATCTGGTATTGTTTGAGATCATGACTTAAGCAATTTTATTAGATGCATATGTTCAACACAACAAAAAGAAAGCAATAGACAGCAATGTTATCATATGTTTTAAACCTGTTTGTTGGTTGAGGTAGTTGCAAATTTGTAATTGACAATAGTGGTTGGTGTCTGTGCCAATAAAAACAGGCTAATTTTTTTTTTAAATCATTTCACCCCGAACAAGGCAGTAAAGCCACAAAGACACAAGGAGTTAATGAGTGTGAAAGAATAAAAAAAAGAGAAACATTATTAAAGAGAGAGAATAAAAAGTAGAGGAATCAAGAAGACTAGATAATGATTGACGTACCATTTAAATTTTTGAAGATCAAATTTGGCTGGAAAGTATAAAGCCAGAAAAGAGTTCCACAAGCAAGAAGTGCGAAAAAAGAAACTGTTAGCATGGAACTTACAGTTAAATCTAGCCAATTTGACTGTAAATTGATCAGACCTAGCTGCCAATCTAGTGCTGCACTTAAATTCATAAAGTCTAGGTACTATAGAGGAAAGTTCATCAGAACAATTATCATTAAAATATTTATAGAAAAGGAAACAGCATTATTGTGGTGGGAAAGTGACTGAAGCCAAGATGCCAGGTCAAGACAAATAACATTGCAGATTCTTTGGATTTTATTAAGAGATACATACCCTCATTCATACTTGGAACATTGCAACTGAAAGAGGTAATGATTACATTGAGAAGTAGAGATGTGAAACTGTGATGTATAGCTATATCTTGATGTTTTTTTCTTTATACTACTGTTCAACCAATACAAAGTCCAAGAGCCACTCAAGGTAGAGGGTTACTGTGTGGCGTTGTACGAATGTAAGAAAAGGCAAGAAATAATGCTTATAGGGCTATACAGGAATGGTTGACTCTAGACTTGAAGATGTCAAGATTGTTGTGATTGGAAAACATCCTGCCAGGAGTCACAGCAGTTCTTGGGAAGAAGCTGCCTGAATGGAACTTACTTCTTACTATTGGAATACAAAGGGAATGTAGTATGGCAGGTCCCAGTTGTAAAGGTCAAGGGTGGTAAGACTAAGGAATATAGCTCATCAGAACACGTGTCATGGAAATAAAAGTAGAGTCGCAAGAGACTCTCAACATTTCATCTGTGGGAAAGAGGTTGTCAGGTGGAAAACAATTCATTACCCACAAGCTGCATAGACACTTTTGGAATCTATCAAGACAGCCAAGTGAGGAGTGGGCAGCTCCAGCCCAGATATGGCAGCAATGCTCCATTTTTGGTCTGATCTGTGTCTTGATAGAGCATAGTAGGAGGATTCAGATACTACTGGAGTGGTATAATGAATCAACCATTTTTTCAGCATTTTTAACAATAGAATGGATGTACAAGTTCCACCTGAGGTCAGGGACTGCTTGAATCCCAATAGACGTTCAAGACAATAATAATCCATAATGATAGCTAAAGTTCAGGATGGTGGAACATTACTAGTTTGGCTGTACTGTATTTTACAATATGTTTGTGTTCCTTATTTCTCATATAATAAAACAAATTGCATTACTTTTTGATTCATTCTCATATGTCAATGAAAGGAGAAAAAATATATATTTTTTTTGGATGAGGCAGTCAATGCTGTGTTCAACTCTCAATGTTGCTTCTCAAGGATAAGTTTCCTTGAGAAGCAACATCGAGAGTTGGTTACTTAATATTTTTCTGCATTGGTTGCATCTTCCCGTGACAGTCAACCTTGTTAAACAAGGTAAGAGCCTCTTGGTGTTATGAATGGATAGATGATGTGTGGCTAGGTTTTAAGAAAAACCTGATAAACAGATAAGGTAGATAAGTTACATAAGATAAGATAGATAAGTATAAACAACATGGAGAGAGAAATCAACATTACATGGTGACTGGCAGTTTCACATCTTAAGTAGTCATTAAGCCACCTGGGACACTTCTTTATACAGACTCCATCTCCATCTCACACACACACACACACACACACACACACACACACACACACACACATGTACAAACACACATCACCAGTGGCTTATGGGAGTACAGAAAAAGGAAAAACAGTTTCTGCCTCGTTTTTTGTTTAGGGTTTTAGATCATTTATAGCCCTGACCATGACTTTATATATTTACTTATATTTTATTGTTATTTATTTTTATTTTTACTTTTACTTTCATTCCCTTTTATTTTTATTTATTTTTGTAGACTTCTTCAGCTCTACTGTTTGGTATTCGTTTTTAAAGAAAACTTTATTAGATTTAGGTTATAGGTTATTGTTGAGTCTTGATGTGGTTGTAGGTAAATTAGTAGGAATTTGTTTTTGTGTTTGCATTTGGAAATGAGCTCTGATCTTTTCTTTAGGAGTTTATATTGTCCTGGAAAGATGACTATTGATTTGTGTTTGTAGGTTTGTTTAACAACATATCAACTCCTTATGGGTCATTTAATGCTGAAATTTATTTTTTTGGAGAGCTTTGAAGTACTAAAAATATACATTATTCTGCTTTCACAACTAAATACATGATAGATGATGCTCAGCATTTTATACATGTTTGTGGGGACATGATTACTAGATGGGGTGATGGTGTATTTTATGCTCTAGTTTTGTTGAAGTTATATTTTGGAATACAGTTTGATTTCTTTAAGAAACTGTCGGATATTATATGGATTAATGTCACTAAAGAGTTCTTTCATGTTGGTTGGTTGATTTTGTTTAGTGGAATATCAACCTCTAGGGATTATTTAATGCCAAAATCTAAATATTTTGAATGCAGTTTTATGGCTTCAACTAAATATATTGGGGGGGGTCCTTTGAATCCTACAGCAGCTTGAAATTAGCTTTAGGCAATTAACATTTAGCGGACATTTGAACTTTTCTCTGCAGTCAAAAGTGGAAATTGTTTTTATATCTACATACACTATCCTCAATAGTCAGCACTCTTCTCCCATAAATATAGCAATCTTATACTATATATATATATATATATATATATATATATATATATATATATATATAAAAGTGTATATAATATAAATAAATATATATATGTATAATTATTTATATATTATATAATGATACTTATTAGAAAGCTACTCAATATCAGAGATAGAGCTAACATATTTGGTTGGATAGATGTGAGTTTCTGACCCTGGGTTTCACGCTTTAGCGATCGTCAGACAAACTGATTAATGTTTTAAAAAATTTGGGTTTATTCACGAGACATTAACGAGACATTTCCACCACACTTCCAATGTTTAAATTTCAACATTTCAACATACAAATGCATATGTATAGACATAACACCACCTGTATACATACATATGTCATAACCGAAACTGCCCACATATGTTTATATATGTATGAGTCCCGATGGACGACCAAGTATGTATATGTGTCTGCATACATCGATGTTTGCGTTAGTACGATGAATGACAAAACGACAAAGTTTCCCCCACCACTTCCACAATAACACCAATACACGCAATCTACATAAACCCAAATTTTTTAAAACATTAATCAGTTTGTCTGACAATCGCTAAAGCGTGAAACCCAGGGTCACAAACTCACATCTATCCAACCAATTATATATATATATATATATATATATATATATATATATATATACGCATCCAGAAATATAGTTTTAAAGTATAGTATGTAAATATAAATATAAAAGTGAACATTGAAGTCAACACTCAGAGGCGACAGGCTGTTTCATGCTAGACTTAATCGTCAGGCCACAAGTGTTTGACTTTTCTCGACTATTTATGTATATGGGTCAGTGGTGCATTGTGGGTAATCCATTCTTGCGGTTATTATGGCGGGAGTTTGCTCATTTATTTATTTATATATGTGTGTGTGTGTGTGTGTGTGTGTGTGTGTGTGTGTGTGTGTGTGTGTGTGTGTGTGTGTGTATTTGGCAGCATGTTTTCATTGACTCAAGTTTTGTTAAATAATTTAGACAAGTTTTGTCTAATTATTTTCAACAGGATCCGTTTATATTTTCAGGTGAGCTTTCTGGTGTCAGTATTAAAAAAAAAAGAGAGAAAATTACTGTGTTGATACATATTGTTTTATTCCGAATACTTTTGACATTAACACAATACCATCCCCAGGGTGTGTTTTTAAGACAAAGATGTAGTGTTCATTATTTCCAAAGACAAATTGCTATGTTTATCCAAAAGCTATAATTTTACATGAGGACCACTAGTTTTTGTGGCATGCAGTGTAGTTTACACTCTAGGGGAGATAACTAATTATTATGTGTGAAGAGTTCTTTTTTAAAACAAGAAAATAGTATAAGCTATTAATATAGACTTTGATATTTTAGTCTATCTATTGTAAACATTTTAGAACATTTGTGCAGTATTCATAATTAATTTTGTTAAGGTTTAGTTTCAATTTTTTAATATAGCAGACAGAACTCTTCTAAATTATTTACCAAAACTTGCCTGAGTATATATATATATATATATATATATATATATATGAAAGAGAGAGGAGGTGATGGAAATGAAAATCTTAGGCAGGCATGCAGGCTGGATATTAAAAAAAAACAATTAACAAAAGTTTGAAAGGGAGGTAGGTAGAAATGGAAAAGTGTAAAAATGGCACTATATTAAAACTCTTATAGAAAGAGAGAGTAAAAGACAGAAAAAAGAGAAAGAAAGAGTAAAAGAAGAATAAAAAGAAAATGCAAAAAAGAAAGAGTAAAAGAAGGATAAATAAGAGAATGCAAAAGAGAAAGAAAGAGTAAGAGAAGAATAAAAAGAGAATGCAAAAAAGAAAGAGTAAAAAATGAAAAAAAGAGAATGCAAAAGAGAAAGAAAGAGTAAGAGAAGAATAAAAAGAGAATGCAAAAAAGAAAGAGTAAGAGAAGGATGAAAAAGAGAATGCAAAAGAGAAAGAAAGAGTAAGAGAAGGATAAAAAGAAAATGCAAAAGAGAAAGAAAGAAAAAAAGCAAAAGGATAAAGAATAAAAAGAGAATGCAAAAAAAGAAAGAAAGAAAGATGAAAAAAGAAGAATAAAAAGAAAATGTAAAAAGAATAAAAAGAATGCAAAAAAAAAAGTAAGAAATGAAAAGAGAATGCAAAAGAGAAAGAAAGAGTAAGAGAAGAATAAAAAAGAATGCAAAAAAAGAAAGAGTAAGAGAAGGATGAAAAAAGAGAATGCAAAAAGAAAGAAAGAGTAAGAGAAGAATAAAAAAGAGAATGCAAAAAAGAAAGAAAAAAGAAGGATGAAAAAAGGATGAAAAGAGAAAGAAGAATAAAAAGAGAATGCAAAAAGAAAGAGTAAGAGAAGAATGAAAAAGAGAATGCAAAAAAAGAGAAAGAAAGAGAAGAATAAAAAAAGTAAGAGAAGGATAAAAGAGAATGCAAAAGAGAAAGAAAGAGTAAGAGAAGAATAAAAAGAGAATGCAAAAAAGAAAGAGTAAGAGAAGGATGAAAAAGAGAATGCAAAAGAGAAAGAAAGAGTAAGAGAAGAATAAAAAGAGAATGCAAAAAAGAAAGAGTAAGAGAAGGATGAAAAAGAGAATGCAAAAGAGAAAGAAAGAGTAAGAGAAGAATAAGAGAAGAATAAAAAGAGAATGCAAAAAAGAAAGAGTAAGAGAAGGATGAAAAAGAGAATGCAAAGAAGAGAAAGAAAGAGTAAGAGAAGAATAAAAAGAGAATGCAAAAAAAAGAAAGAGTAAGAGAAGGATGAAAAAGAGAATGCAAAAAGAGAAAGAAAAGAGAATGCAAAAGAAAGAAGAATAAAAGAGAATGCAAAAAAGAAAGAGTAAGAGAAGGATGAAAAGAGAATGCAAAAGAGAAAAAAGAGAAGATAAAAAGAGAAGAAGTAAAGAAAGGAAAAAAGAGAATGCAAAAAAAGAAAGAGTAAGAGAAGGATGAAAAAGAGAATGCAAAAGAGAAAGAAAGAGTAAGAGAAGAATAAAAAGAGAATGCAAAAAAAAGAAAGAGAAATGAAAAAGAATGAAAAGAGAAAGCAAAAGAAGAATAAAAAAGAGAATGCAAAAAAGAAAGAGTAAGAGAAATGAGAATGCAAAAAAAGAAAGAGTAAGAGAAGGATAAAAAAGAGAATGCAAAAAGAAAAAAAGAAGGATGAAAAAGAGAAGCAAAAGAGAAAGAAAGAGAAGAAGAAAAAAAGAGAATGCAAAAAAAAGAAAGAGTAAGAGAAGGATGAAAAAGAGAATGCAAAAAGAAAGAAAGAAAGAATAAGAGAAGAATAAAAGAGAATGCAAAAAAGAAAGAGTAAAAGAGAAGGATGAAGGATGAAAAAGAGAATGAAAAAAGAGAAAATAAAAAGAGAATGCAAAAAAGAAGAAGTAAGAAGAATAAAAAAGAGAATGCAAAAAAGAAAGAGTAAGAGAAGGATAAAAAAGAGAATGCAAAAAGAAAGAAAGAAAGAGAAGGATGAAAAAGAATAAAAGAGAATAAAAAAAAAGCAAAAAAGTAAGAGAAGGATGAAAAAGAGAATGCAAAGAGAAAGAAAAGAAAGAAGAATAAGAGAAGAATAAAAAGAGAATGCAAAAAAAGAAAGAGTAAGAATAAAAAAGAAGGATGCAAAAAAAAGAGAAGGATGAAAAGAGAAATGCAAAAGAAGAAAATAAAAGAAGAATAAAAAGAGAATGCAAAAAGAAAGAAAAGTAAGAGAAGGATGAAAAGAGAATGCAAAAGAGAAAGAAAGTAAGAGTAAGAGAAGAATAAAAAGAGAATGCAAAAAAGAAAAAAAAGAAAGATGAAAAGAGAAGCAAATGAAAAAAAGAATGAGAAAAAGAAAGAAAAAGAAAAAGAGAAGGATGAAAAGAGAATGCAAAAGAGAAAGAAAAAAAAAGAAGAATAAAAAGAGAATGCAAAAAAGAAAGAGTAAGAGAAGGATGAAAAAGAGAATGCAAAAGAGAAAGAAAGAGTAAGAGAAGAATAAAAAGAGAATGCAAAAAAGAAAGAGTAAGAGAAGGATGAAAAAGAGAATGCAAAAGAGAAAGAAAGAGTAAGAGAAGAATAAAAAGAAGAAGTAAAAAGGATGAAAAAGAGAATGCAAAGAGAAAAAAAGAAAGAAAAAGAGAATGCAAAAAAGAAAGAGAAGGATGAAAAAGAGAATGCAAAAGAGAAAGAAAGAGTAAGAGAAGAATAAAAAGAGAATGCAAAAAAGAAAGAGTAAGAGAAGGATGAAAAAGAGAATGCAAAAGAGAAAGAAAGAGTAAGAGAAGAATAAAAAGAGAATGCAAAAAAGAAAGAAAGAGTAAGAGAAGGATGAAAAAGAGAATGCAAAAGAGAAAGAAAGAGTAAGAGAAGAATAAAAAGAGAATGCAAAAAGAAAAAGAAAGAATGCAAAAGAGAAAGAAAAGTAAGAGAAGGATAAAAAGAGAATGCAAAAGAGAAAAAAGAATGCAAAAGAGAAAGTAAAAGAAGGATAAAAGAGAGAATGCAGCTGGAAATATTTGTGCATTCTTTATTCTTTTATAAAAACATACCTCCCCAGGATCATTGTACCAAAGTTCCTCATGCAAGCGGTAGGGATGTCTCTTTTTTCGATTCAGTTCCTCTAACCACTCATTCGTGGCTTCCTCCGATCCACTGTCGTCCGTATCATCGGTGTCATCAGAAGAGTCTTCAATGGGGGTAGAATGGCAGGATGATGAAGATTCACTTTCTGTCCAAATAGAGAAAAGAAAATTACAAATTTAGGCAATCCCATTCTCCTTATCAAAATCGAATTGCTGGTTTAAGAATTAAAGAATATACAATGTGTAGGTTACTTGACTTCTGATAATACAACTGTTAGCTACTCTTGACAACCTCATTCAGTAAAGTTCTACCTTGAGTGGCTTTTGGGCCTGGTATTAAATGAAAAAAAAAAAATTTCTGACTTCAGTTTCAGTTATCCGCACCTGATCAAACCTAAGTATTTTACTTAATATGGATTGATTTGTTTTTTACGACTTATCAACCCTTTGCAGGTTATTTAAAGCCAGAAAATATTTTTAGATTGAATTTTTTTAAGATAATAATGATTTACCAATACAAGTCCTACTAATTAACCCATAGCTGGGGAGAGAAGAGGTGGATTCATACCATTCGCAAGGGTATTTGTGTATAAGCAAATATAATGAACTCGACAGGACATAGCTCTCTGATTTCAAGCTGTTATCCATTACACTACCCACACATCCAAGCTTACAGTATCTAATATTCATAAATGCTCACATATAAATGATCCCAAAATGCAAGAATAAAGATGCTAGAAATTCTAATATGCCAAAGTCCTTTCAAAGCCAAAAGAGCAGAATGATGTCCATCCCTCTGTACACATCTATATAAATAAAGTGCAGTGTACATGTGTCTGTCTGTCCGTCTATGTTTCAATCTTGACAAATCATAAACAACTTAAAGTAATAGGTAGTAACTACTGTAGTTATACACAATTAAAAATTAAATAAATAACGCATTTAAAGTTAAATTTAAAAGAGCAAAAGGTTTAAAAAACAATTCTTTATTAAAGGTTTAACTTTAATTTTGCTTTTCTTTGCAATTGATATTATCTAATTAAACCATAATTAAATCTTAAGTGGAGCATGGTACATTGCTCATATGTTGTTTTTTTTTCTAGCACATGTACTGTGACATATTTGAAATATTACATAGTTTGGGTTCTCTAATGTCTTTTAAGAGTGACTTTATGTGACAGGATCATAAAGGATGGCGATTTTAAAAGAAAACAAAAATTGCACACAAAATAAATGTAAACAAACCACAGAGATCGGTTGTGTATGCAAATTAAGGTGTCAAATAAAGATAAAATAATTTTATTGTTTCTAAATTCTTATAACTTTTACATATATAGGATGCTGAAAGGCCAAAGGCCCAAAAGTCCTCCGGAGGAGCTAGCCTAAAGTTCATCCAAAGTGCGGCTTCTAGGCTAATACAAAAATAAAAGATTAAAATGGGTGTGGTAGTAGTATCCTATGTTCACTATGTACAAGCAATGGACTCACCCCAGTTGGCTATTTAACTTGTAACTCCTATTTTCCTTTTTTAACTGAGTTTTGTTTAGTTGAATAAAGCTTAGCACTTTTACTGTTGTCCTGAGCTGTTTAATCTTATAATTACTATACTTTATTCAACTAAACGCGTAGATAAAATCTAGCATGGAAACAGCATGGAACCTAAAATGCTCGGATGTCAAACCTTGTTCATGAACTCTTAGAAATTAATTCAACTTATGCCAACATAAAGTATCCAGATGGAAGGGAGTCTACTGTATCTGTTTGTGATTTCGCACCCTGCTTGGCAGCAGAGTTAACCCCTGAGTCCCCCACTGTGAAAGGAAATAGGAGTACCCTGGGTGTCCCCATACCAGAAGAGGACACACCGCATAATGGAGATGTTACTGGAGTCCAACAGGTCAGGAGATCCGAACAGACAACAAGACCCCCAGCTTGTTATGGATGGTAACGCTACATTTTTCTAGGAACGAAAAATGTGGCAGTAGTATCCTTTGTTCCCTATGTACAAGCAATGGACTCACCCCAGTTGGCTATTTAACTTGTAACTCCTATTTTCCTTTTGTAGCTGAGTTTCTTTTAGTTGAATAACGCTTAGCTCTTTTACTGTTGTCCTGAGCTCCGTTTACTCTTACAATTACTACAATGGGTACAGTTCATTGATTATCTTAACTGCGGCAGCAAACACATCTTGAAATTTTCTTGTTGAACATTATATTTCTCAATTATTAAAACAGAATTATTGAAGATTAACAATTCAAATTAAGCAGAGTAATTAAAAAAAGTAAAAAAAAAAAAACATTCACAATATGGTGTTCTTTACTGAAAGCTAAGTCATAGTGCAACTCACATCCAGAACTGGAAGCCTATCTCTTGTCATTCCACTAGGAGCAAAGATTTGTAATAACAGTTTCAGCAAACTACTGCAGTCAGCTTAAGAAATTCAAAGAAAAAAGTAGAGATGAGATATTGTAACTATTTACATCATTTGGATTGTTGTCCTCATCTTTATTGCCATATTCACAATGTCTTGGCCATTGTATGCCTTTTTCAGTTGATATACGTTGGAATTTTGATCAAAGTATGGAGGTAGATTGTTCTAATTCCATGTGTCATGTCATTTTTAGATATTTCAGTTTCAGTTAATTCCCTTAAGCAACTAAACTCTCCAAGTGACATGACACAAAGTAAAAATTTTAAAAACATTGAAAACATCATTTATTTACTTAAATTAAACATTATGTCATTTAGCATCCTCCATAATTTACCAAGCCATTTCAGTTAACCTGATGAATATTTATGAGCGTCTCTTAAATTTAAAAATTTTGAAAGCCCAGAACATTTTACTTTTGTTTATAAATACTTGTTACAAAATAAAATCCTCACATTTGCTTTCATAAAGTCTGTCAGACTTGGCTAAGATAAGTTTTCCTTTATTCATATTGTCCTTTTACAGATAAATTGTAGTTTACATATATGTGACATTTTATTACTCTCTTGTAGTGTTTATGAAAAACACATTTAAAAATCTTTATAAATTAAGATTTGGTAAAATGAAATTCAAATTATAGTGGGCTCATCTTCTATATAATAAATGCCAATGGCAGTGTGTCATGCTTTTTTTAATCAAAGGGACACAACTCTCAATATCTCATCTCCTTCTTCTGTATAATAAATTCCAATGTCAGTGTGTCACACTTTTTCAACTTTATGCCTAGAGGTCAGAGCCCAACATATCATACCATTTTGGAATCAGGCCGACTCCATGAGCAAATTAAAAACATTCTGAGCCAGATCTAGACCCACATCCTAAAATTTGGATTCTGAAGTTTTCATTACCGGAATTGTTTTCAGCAATTTTTTTTACATGAATTTTTGCAACAAATTTTTTTGTATGGTAACAATTTTTATAACTTGGAAATAAATTTATGAATAATCGAAATTAATAGTGAAATTCAGTGAAAGTCACCAATGAAATAAAAATAATTGTTTGTATGGAAAGTAAGGACCTACATACATCAAATTGTCTTTAAATTAAGTGGCGGCAAAAGAATTATTGTTGAACTTTTAAAAGGCAAGCTTAGATAGTCATGCAATATTTAAACGCAGTGATCAATTTTAAGTTCTGTAGTTTATTATTGCCTATCACATCTACTCTTCCCTACCTATTGTGATGATGGCGCAATCAAGAGCCCTCCACAGGAGTTAGCTTAAATGCCACCTGATAGGGTGGCTTTTAAGCTAGACAAGTATATTCTTTTCATTAATCAGTTTTGGCAAAATAAAAATCTCTTTTTATGGAAGATTGTTAATAAGATGATATCCCAACGGACACATACCAACTTAATTAAAATTTATCCAACATTTTTAACATGTTTGGGGTTATTTAAAAAAAAAAAAAAAAAAAAAAATGAGTTGATTTCAAAAATTTAATAAAAACAAATACTCAGAGACAGAAACACATTCAACACATTACTAAATAGAAAAAGGTTCAAAGTTATTAAAATAAATGAATTTTTTTTCAATCTTCTTTCTGTGGTTTTTTTTTTTTTTCAGATTTTGTTAAAATTTAAATTGTTATAATTTGTGTTAATCCTTAAAATGGCCACACCACAAGAAAAGTCGTTTTGTGTACTACAATTTGCAAAGTGTAACTTTAAAATAATAAACATTGAACCTTTTCCTCTCCAGTAATATGTTGAATGTGTTTCTGTCTCTTGTGTGTAGCAACCGTTAGTCTCAAGGAACCTCGGGTCTGAACCCAAAGAATTATGTCTCAGCTGCTGTTGATGGTAGTGCAGCATCTGTTATGGCTGTACAGGCCCACATGAAAATGAGTCTTCATTGCAATGAATGCATGTGAAGATGCTCTCCCACGATGTCACCTTGTTGTTTTCTTTTTTTTTCTTTCTGTCAAGCACGCTTCACCCAGCAGCAAACTTCAGTTTCTTCTCTCCTCACTTCAGACCTCGGTGTAAATAGAGTCTCTGGCAGGAGCGATATTTGGCAACATCTTCCCACTTCTTGATGTCCACGTCCATCACCCTCATGTCCCTTGAAGCGAAGATATGATTACCCCATAGCTAGTAGCCTGTTCCCCATACAAAAGGATTTCAGAATCCTCTCATCCAGCATATGGTGTACAATGCAAGTCCCCCTCATTCTTTTACATCATCTGGCCGAGGACGGATTACAGCAGAGTGGTAAGTGCTTTTTTCTCCCTCATTTCAACTGCAGTAGCTTTACATGCTAAGCAAATACAGGCTCTTTTCTGGTGGGGACAAGGCAAGTCACAACCAGTTGTGCTCATCCCAGGTTCTGTCTCATCACATCTGCCACAAGATTCCTAAGTAACTGGACTAAAAAAAAAATTAGGAAATTTTTGTAAAACCCCTCCACAATTTCTTGAACATAAAAATTTTGGATTTACACTTTATGTGCTCTTTTCTTTTTTCGTTTTCTATGTGGATGAGTTGAATAGTTACACCCATCACAACATTCTACAGCACCAGTTAGATCAATATATGACTCCAGAAATCACCAGTAAGCAATCATGAAGAGACAGGGGTAGAAAAAAAAAAAAAAGAACCTGACAAATATATACACTGATTAAAATAGTGTCACAGAACAAAAGCAAGGATTCATTTACTTACCTGTACCATCATGGATATGTGTTGCAAGGGATCGTCTTGGTTCTTCATATTTTGGTCGTGTCTCGATAATTTGCTTTGCACGGTCACAGAGATCACATTGAAAGCGGTTCTCAAGATCGATCATTTTCTGGGTGCCCATCAAGCAATTGGTTTGCTAAAGCAAACAAAAGAAACAGAATTTTATCTATCAATTGACAGCAGAAAGAAAATTTTAATTGACTGAAACATTATTAACAACTCTGCTGATTAACATGTGAAGAATGTCCATTTTCTTTTCTTTTTTGTAACCATTGTTATTATACTTTATATTCCTGCACAGTTTTTCATTTTCAACCAGCGACCTTGAATTATAGCTATTCACCATCAATTCATAAGATAGTAGCTTTCTCAGAATATTTAGTGCCAAGCCATGCATTTTCTCAACCTATGGTATACTAGGCTTAAATTCTAATTTTATGAAATGTAGGACTAAGTTCGACAATATAGACCCTAACCTCCCCAAATGATAACCAGGACAATAGTAGCCTGAACATCCTACATTCTGGCAATTTTAATTCAGTGGTCAGTATATTTTATTATTATTGTGGAGCATCAGGGCATTTATTATTATATTTCACAGTTGATATAATTATTATAATTATAATCACCAGGAACAATCACATCAATGAGGAGACATTTTCTTGTTTTTATTTTTGTTCTTCCATTAATAGGCCTGCCTGGTTGGTGGTCTCCTAGATGTGATCTGTTTGTTGTTTTACTCTTAAACTGGTATACATTTCAATTGCGGGGTCATAAAGTAATGACAGTGACAAGTTTTTAAAAATTTCCTGGAAATGACTCAAGATATGACAGATATAATAAGAATGGCATGTCCATACACTTTTTTTTTTTTTATAACAACGATGTTCACGCTGTACAAGGGCCAAGAGCCACTTAAGGGTTACAGCGTAAGATGCAAAGTTTATGGGGATATGTAGGGAAGATAACAGTTGACTCCATACTTGAACAGGTTAAGATTGTAGTGATCAGGGAAGCAATCTCTTGGGAGTAAATTCCACAAAGCAGCAGTTCGTGATATACGAAATAAAATAACTTTTGTTTTATTATAGGGAAAATATGTTTTTAAAGAGATTAAAAAAAAAAACAAAAAAAAGAAACAAGAGATAACTAAAATTAACAACTTTATAGGAATAAGATGCTTACTTTATCTCGATAAAAGTACAAATCGGCAGGAGAACACCTGATCCATGCTGGTGTGTCGTTTTTCTCAACTTTCTCTTTTTTGTGCTCCTTTCGAGGCAAATCTGGAGCCTCTGGTTTCTCAGTTCGACTGGCTTTCTTTGTATGACTAAATCAACAGAGAGAATAAAGCATATTAAATTTAAAGAACTTTCTGTTGTAGTTGTATAACATACTGGTCAATACTCCAATAAGTAGTAACACAAACTGAATAGAGTCAGCTCTAGTTTTTGTCTGGGGGGGGGGACAATTTATGGCCTCCACTCTTCTCTTATTTAAATTAGACTTCCACTACAAACCTTAACAATTGTCAACAGGAAAAAGAAAACACAAAGGTTAAAAGGAAATGTTTTAAGCAAAATGCTATCCACAGACACACAAAATTATACACACACACAAGCACTCACATGCACACAAGAAGAAACAAAATTTAAATAATGACCTGCATTCATGCTTATAACTGTTATTGCAATATTTGGTAAATTTGTTAAGCCCAGATATTTAACAATGCAATAGGGGAAATTCCGCGGGTATTTTATGGATGTGGTACTCACAAGGAGATTATTCAATCAGTAAATAGAGAATTATCATTCACCAGAAAATTCAAAAAGGAAAATCATGAAATATTCACGGGATCGCTAATAATACATAATTTAAGCGAGTTCTTTCACAAGTTTTATACTAGACATCAAACGATTTGTCCAACCCCAGAAGAAACTCACCAAAAGGCTCCAGAAACATTCCATGTCTTTCCTATTTAATAAAACAACCCTTTAGCATTTAACGCGCTCAAAACCAACCCATAAATATCGGCTCTCAAAGTCTTATGGCTTGTGGTTAAAGTTTCACTATTTGTAGGACTCTCTGCGTTATTTGCAATGATGTCATCAGATATTATGTCAGAGAATACATGGGACAGGTTACGGTGGATTGAACACTGAGAGCTAATATTTACAGAGTGGCTTTCAATGAGATGAATGCTAAAGGACTAAACAAAGGATTACTGCCTATACACCCTATGTTTAAATGTATAATTTTACGAAATGTGTCATTTTTTGGTTTTTGGTTCTTCCTTTGTCTTTAGTTAAATATTAGTATTATTATAATTACTTACTAAAATTGGTTCTGGCACAAGGCCACAAGTGTGGAACATCCAGTGTGGCCCAAACTTGCTATTCATTATTACTGATTTATGAAATCAGCTTGTTAACCATTAGAAGGCACAGTGTAGTAATGGATAGCAGCTCAGATTGAGGAATTGGAGAGCTGGGTTTGAATTCCAGTCAGATCCATTACATTCACTTATGTGCTAATACCCTTGGGAAAGGTATGAATCCTCTTCTTCTCCCCCTAGCTACAAGTAAATAGCAAGACAGACTGAGTTCTATAGCCTTGGATGGCATCTTGTCTACCGCAGAAAGAAATGGCAACCTACTGCAGGAAAAAATCTGCCTCGTCAGTCATGTATTGAAAGATACATGATTGCCTACATGTGTATTATGCATGACACATAACTGACTAACTGAACCATTACCCAGCAAAGACATACCCATACATATTGGTGTATATTGATGCTAAAATGTTCTAACCGACTCACTTTACCAAATGACCAGATATGAGTTTTTTTTTGGTTTTTTAAATCTCTTCTTGGTCAGGCCAAGAACTTTTCAGCATCCTTTTGTATTTAAAAAAAAAAAAAAAAAAGTGTATCTGTGCTTCACTCTGTCTTACCTAGAATCTCTGACATCAGAAGAATCTTTAGTCCAAGAACGCTTCTTGGTACTGGAACTGCTACAAGAACTTAGTGTTGGGCTGCGTCGTCGTTCTCTTCGGTCATTACTCTTACCTCTCTTCCTTGGAGATGGAGATCTCGACCGGTGCCTGCTGGTATATCAAGAGAAAGAGAAGAGGCATTTATACTATTATTGTTTGTGAATTGCAATAAGGGGACAAAAATTTCAAGTACCATTACTCATATGCAACAATTTCCCCATACTGTTTCATGGTATGGGCACCTTTCTTCCAAAAATGACCTAGATTAATTGTTTTATACAGGAACCAACATGTCCAAAATTTGAAATTTAAATGTATGAGTGTAGACAACTTAGGTATTGACCATTGTTTCTTTATTTAAATTTGGATGAGAATCTGACAGAATGGTAAATATGTAAGAAAATTTAGAAAATTCTTGACAGGTTTTGCTGATCAGTGTCATGAGGTTTTTTTTTTACCTCATGACACTGTTTAATATATAACTAGTCCTCTCCGGTGTATAAACTGTTCTTAACTAAAGTGGTATTGAAACAATGTGGGATATGAAAAATCTTAAAACAAATGAATATATATAAATAAGAACTGTGTTGAAATTAGTACAAATCTCATAATGGAAAATTAGCCATTTCCTTATATTTGAACATTCAGTATTCATTGACCAAAGCTAGCTAGTGCTATTTTTATTTTGAGATTTATAAAATCTGTCTCTTAAAAATAAAAAAAAAAACAGGCTTCAAGTCTACTGCTATTGCTCTTTCCAGTATTGATGAGGTTTTCCTGCTTAAACTTTTGTCTGAATTAATGTGGGATATCAGCATCTGGATTATGTCATCATTTTCTCTTAGAGTTACATGTGCTATCCATTTTAGTTGTTGCTACTGTTGAAAGTCCTCAAGTGATGCGCATTTGGTTATTTCATATAGTTCTTTGTGATCCTGTGATGCCAGGACACAAGGTTAAAAAAAAAGGACAGTTCTCATTAAGATCTACAGGCTTCATTTGCTCAAAGCCAGTTGATCAAATAACCTTATTCTCTCATTAATAGTTACAATAATACCTGACCACTGACAATTCTAGCTTCCTCATTTTTCAATAGAGTCCTGTAGCAAAATTATTAGCAATGCATTTAGTTTAAATAGCTCTATTCTGTTATCTTTTTAAAATGCTGTGCCTGTCCACAACATAGACAATCATGGCTATCCAGATTTCATTATACAGGCTGAGGCAGAAATACCTCCCACATAATGGTAAGACATTAGAGGCAATGGTGTCTTCCTGTCTTATTATGTAGGAAGTATTTCTGCCACACCCCATATATAGCAAAGACTTTGCGAGAAAGATAGCATGGTTTATCATGACCATTTACATGTTTTTTGAATTCAGAGTAGCCTTTCTAGATTGGTTACCACTCAATGCTAGAGATTTTAGCCTACCCTGCTATTTAACAAATACCTATAGAGAGGAGATATGGAATTTATGCCCTTCCCAAGGATCTTACTGCAAAGTAAATACAACAGACCAGAATAGAAATTGATCTCTACTTACCGATTCCACTTATTGTACAATACCTACTTGTTTGCATTAATTCCTGACCACTGACAATCCCTTTTTACCTATAATTTTAAAAGCACAACACGAATTGAATCTTAAGTGTTGTTAATGCAAATAATGCAATAAAAACAGGTATAATTAATAAGAGACAAGAGGAAAACCACTCAACATCTTGAGAAGATTGATTGGTTGTTTTTGTTTAGCGGCATATCAACTTCCATGGGTTATTTAATACCAAAGTCATACTAATTAATCCATAGCTGGGGGGAGAAGAGGTGGATTAATACTGTTTCCAAGGGTATTTGTGTGTAAGTGATAATAGCAAACCCAATGGGAATTGGAACTTGGGTCTTCAATTAACAATTTCCAATTACACCACCCACAGATGTAAGCTTACAGCACCTGGTATTCCCAAGTGGTTACCCATTTAGGCACTGACTAATCTCAATATTGCTTAACTATGGTGATTGTACGGGAACCGTCATTCCAACATGATGAGCCTATAAGACTCCTAGAGAAGAGAATTGCCCAACAGATGCTACCATGTATTGGAAAAGTGTTCTATTACATCCAGAATTGTGATCTCAGAATGTCATATTAAAAATTTAGAATACGCATTATCATTCCTAGTTTTGAGCACATCATATTCAAACTATCATTTAAAAGTCCTTGAGATAATCTATATTAAATCAAGACAACCATCCTTATGCAAACAATAGGATGGGTTGGTAGGACTTAGTTTGATCAAAGCCAGTAGGTTCTATAAAATTAGTCAACCATAGATGATAGTGGTCATCTAGTGATCATCATTGTTTTCCTCTGTGTAATGACACATAGTTATCATCTTTGACCACTTCACCATTAATATCCACTTTAGCAAAGCCTTCAAAATCATCACCAGAGTCCAAATCAAAGAAAAACTTCTAAATAAAGATTTGTTTACAAAAAATCATGAAAAATCTAATTTAATCAATGTTACACCTTATGTAGAGTCTAGAATTCAAAATGGCTTCAAAAACCAAAAGTTTAGCCTCATTCCAAAGCAGTACTAGTGATTTCCAATTTAAAATGCCAAAAATAGGAGTTGACAAGTGTTTATTTATAGCAACTGTCTCAAGGGAGACAACTGTAGCAGCAAAGGGAGAGAATTCTACGGTGACAAGTTTCACCTCCAATGTGGCAGAGGTTAATAATATCTTTAAAAACTTATTAAGCAGAAGAAGGATGGTAAAGACAGTAGATGGAAATAAGAAAAGCTGATACCTGACTGACATACAAACAAGTTCAAATGCAGTTGACATTAATAAAATCGCAATTACTGTTTCATTTTCTACCCACCATCATGCCACCAAAATTGTTGTGTCATTGTAAATGGTATCAGTAAAGCCACTCCTCACTCAAAGCATCTGTTTAACAACCCCCATCCCCCAGACTTACAACCCACTAAATGGTGATAAAATGACATTAAAGCTATCTGAAGCTGAGGAGGGACAGTGGAGTAATGAATAGCTGTTCGGATTTAGGAATCGGAGAGCAGAGTTCAAATTCCAGTTGAATCCATAACATTCACTTACATGCTAATACCCTTGGGAAAAGAATGAATCCTCTTCTTCTCCCCCCAGCTATGGGTAAATAGCAGGACAGACTAGGTTCTATAGCCTTGGATGGTAACTGGTCTACCGCAGAAAGAAATGCCAACCTACTGCAGGAAAAAATCTGCCTCGTCAGTCATGTATTGAAAGATGCATACATCATGCATGGCACATAACTGACTGAAGCAGGCAGGTACAAACTTCTTATTTAGCAACCAGCTCATTGTACTTTGGTGCACGGTTTCAACAGGATGGAGCCGTCGCACACAGAGTGAGAAGATCAATAGAGGTTTTTGTTATGGAGTGATTTCACAGTGGAAGCTGGTATTTGTACTAAGTCGGTACTAAAACAGGTTCGACATACAAAACATTAGGAACTTCATATAATAGGTATGATGCAGTAATCTAGTTGTGGTCGCTGATACTTTTAGTATCCAACTAACGGTTGTCTGACATCGACTGACTGACCGACCCACTGAGCGACTTGTCTCGTTACTCTTACTACTCCTACTTATTATAGGTGGGAGAGTCTATTAACTATAGAATAGGTGTGTTCCGCTATAACAGTTTTGAGTGAGATGTTTCCACAACAGTTTATTTTCTTTCACAGTGACATTGGATAACCTGCACACTCGACTGATCTCTAAGGGATTATTTTCTCCATGGCTGCCTGAAATCTGAACTCTGCAAATGTCGATAAACAACAACTGATGAACCGAAGGCTGCTATTCACAAAACAATTACAGGAACACAACTGAAAAGGACTGATTTGGTAATGGGAAATAGCAGAAATCAGTTACAACAACTGAAAATAGAGGCCACCATTTTGAAAATTTCACTTTCAAAAATTAAATGAAGAAAAACTATATGCTTATTTTATTGGTTTTAAAACATTTTTTTTTTGTCCTTATCTTTGTTATAGGGTTGGCATCCCATATTTTGTATCAGCTACTGAAAGAACTATCATGACATCCACTAACTGCACCAGGGGTGAATACTTACCTTGAATAGGGGGGAATGTTTTTTGTTCTAGGTTTTATTTTTATGGCTTAACGAGATCGCAGAAGGTCGCTTACAGTAACTGATGTTCCTAAACAATCTCCCAGACATCGCTTAACACTGCTTAACTTTGATGATTAAACAAGAACCAGTGTTATCAGTGTGATATGACTGTAAATAAGAAATGGAGAAGAAACATGGCCAGGCTGTATAACTCACATTCTCCCGATTAAAGAAAAGAAAGAATAATGTTCAAAAAGGAAATTTTTTTTATTTACATGCAGACTAATGTTTCTACCGCTGTGCTCCCCAGCCTTCATCGGGTGTATATCAATCCAGTTAGCCTACAGGGAATTCCGAACTGAACACTTTATTTAATTTCTGGGGTAGATAGTTCTCATTCCACTTATATTCAGAGATATCTCATCTAGTTCTTATTTTTTATTATTGCACAGTTATTGCTCACTCTGTTTCCACTTAGTTCATGTACACACTGCCAATCCACTAGGCTCTTGTCCTGTGGGACAATTCTAAATGGAGAACCTGTAAATAGTGTAAATAAGGATAACTCCTTTATTAAGTAAGAAAAGTGATGCTTACCTTGATCTGTTCCAAGAGCTATTATGTTTATCATTATCTTTTCGCCGCGAATAATGAGGGGAGACTGACCGCTGGTCATAGGACTTTTTTCTGTCCTTGCTCCTAGAGCGACTGCTGCTGCTGCTGCTGCTACTGCTATTTCTAGAAGAACTGTAAGACTGCTTGCTACTGCTGTATGACATATACTTGTCTCTGTCACGCCCAACAGAAGGTCCAACATTCTTACCGTGGGATGAGGAAGAGGACAAACAATTTGATGAAGAAATGTGGACACTGTCTCTGTCTCTCTCTCTCTCCCTGTCCCTATCTCGACTGCTGCTAGTGCCGCCAACATGGCAGCCACCAGTGTCACTAACTTTGGAAGAAATCACAGGAATAATATCACTAAGGGAATCTCTGTCGTTGGTACCAATACCAGATGATAGGGAAGAAGTTGGCTTCATTGGGCACCCGCCAACACCACTCACTATGGGTGGGGGCATAAACATGCCTCCCCCTCCTCCACTGCTGGGATTTTGTCCCCCACTGCCCTTGTTGCCATTATGCCCACTGGTTCCTCCCAGGCAGCCCCTTGCAGAAAGAGGAGGTAATGCTTGTTGCTGCTGCTGTTGCAACTGGTGGTTTTGTCCAGGAGGAGCCTTCCAATGCGAGTAATGGCTTGGTCTTGGGGCCATAGCTCGTTGCACTGGGAAAATAGCGCAAGAGCCCCAAACAGATGGGTATGGCTGGCACTGGACAGCAGCAGCTGCAGCAGCCACAGAACTGACAAGAGAAGGTGGGGGTGGGGGCGGCGGTGGAGGAGGTGGTGGCACGGAAACCCCCACTGGGTTATTAGGAGGAAAAGGAATACCAAGCGGTCCAGATGGAGGTAGAGGAGGTGGACCACCGGAATTCACAAGTGGCGAGGAATAGCCACCGGAATTGTTAACAGTCTGTGCTGCTGATGGAGGTGGTGGAACTACGGGTGGTGGGGGAGGTGGAAGTGTGGGTACAGAGCCACCTCCACTTTGTGCAGGTGGAGGAGGAGGTGGGTGCTGTGAGGGAGGTACCACAGAAGAAGTGGGGACAACTGGAGGGTTTTGTCTGCTTGGTGGGTTCACCAGTTGGGGAGGTGGAGCTGTCAGATAGTTCACAGGACGCACAGTCAACTGAAAGAGAGAAAAAAAAAAAAGAAATTAACCCTTTGATCCCAGCATTCCTAAACAATTTTAACCCTTCTGCCTGAGCTCCTGAGTCAAAATAAGCAAATAATTGGTATGTAATGCTTCACAGTAAATATAAAAATAGTTACAAGAGTTTACCCACCGTTCAACCGGTGACTGGGCATTAAGTTATTTTTCTCTACCGCTGGTAAAGCGGTGGTCAGGGCTCAAAAGGTTAAGAAGGAAAAAAAATGTGACATCTGATCAAAAAGAAACGAGGGCATTATGCAAAGGTTCAACTGACAACCATTGATTAACAACCTTTATGTGCAACAAATACAAACCACAGGGCACTGGTTAAGGTCAACCAGCAACCTTGTAGCAAGATTCACTCTCTAGCAACCAGAATATGGCAAAAACAGGAAAGAATGACCAATAAATCTATGTCAAACATATAGAAAACATCACACAGAAAACAACTGAGGAAATGTGGATACTTCATCATCATCTTCCCTATAGTTGCTCAGAACTCCATTGACAATCCCTTTCCACACTGTTCGGTCCTGTATTGCTGTCCCCGGATCCCCAATTAAAAAGAAATAATAAAATGTTCTCATATATTTTACTAGCAGTAGAGCCCGGCGTTGCCTGGGGATGTAACAGTAAGAGATAGATCAAGTATCGACCATCATAAAGAGTGAAAAATAAAATTGACAAAGATTATTATTTAAGGGTGACGGACACACATGTCTTAATTAGTTTTTTTTCTTTTTTTTTTTATAAATTGGTCAAACCCAAACTCAAACAAAAACATTGTTTTCAATTGTTAGAGTCTACTGATTAAATAGAATTTTATTATAAACAATTGTCTTGTAAATGGAATTTTTAAAGCATTCTGAATGTAAAAATAAAGAAAAAAGTGTGCAAGACAATAAGGAACACTACCTGCCAAAAAAAAGTGAAGTTTTGTTGAAATCGGTTGAAAAATGTAGGAAATCCGATCCCATATATAAACGAACACACACACACAAACAAACAACCTGGGTTTTATAATAAGTATAACTCGATATGAGTTGTTCCCCTTTCATTCTCGTGAGGCCTCTTAATCGTGTTTTCAAATTGATTTCATGCAAAAACAATTGTGTTTTTCCAATTTTTGGTGCTGTCAGAACCACTGCAAGGTAATTTTACATCGTCCTGTTAAGTTTTGTTGAAATTGGTTGAAAAATGTAGGAAATCTGATCCAATATATAAACGTACAGACACACACACACACACAATCTGCGTTTTATAATAAGATGATAATTTTATACTTTTATTCCTTTAGTATCTGTCTATATTTCTGAGATGAGGTATTAAGTACACTATTTACATTATTCGGACTATTGTCCGCATCTTTGTCACCTTATTTATTACAACATTTCAGCCCTTGTATGCTCCAGCCTTCTTCAGGTGGTTGGAATGTTGAACTGAACCCTGGGGTAGACTGTTTTAATTCCACATGCTATGTTTTAATGGCTGTCAGTTATCAGTTATCTCCTGTTAATTCCCCTCTCCAAGTTCTCCACTGCCTTAACCGGCTATTGAACTCACACTCTTTGGGTCCTGTCACTGGATCTAACTAACGCCTTTATCCACTGTGCCATGTGTCCTTGCGATCATGTGATCTACTTATTCAAAATGGGATCGCCTGTGTTTGCTCTCTGGTGATCTGTGTTCAAACTCCAGTGTCGGCAGTGACACTTTATTCTTGTATAACACATTGCAGAAAGTTTCTGACACTATCCAGTGGTCCCCCATCTAAGTATCTACTGACCGGGCTTGACACTGTTTAACTCTGGTGATCAAATGAAAAGTGGTGTTTTCAATATGATTTGACAGTAGAACTGTGTGAGAGATAAAAGATAATGTATTTCGGTATGCAATGTATGCAAAGATAATGTATTTCGGTATGCAATGTATGCAAAGATAATGTATTTCGGTATGCAATGTATGCAAAGATAATGTATTTCGGTATGCAATGTATGCAAAGATAATGTATTTCGGTATGCAATGTATACAAACCATCACAATACAAATAAGCCACATGATAAACCTCAAATACTCAGATGGCCCAGATTAATTAATAGAATGTGTTGTAACAAGATGTCTGCTATAATTTGAATCTAAATTGTTCATTTCACCACATCCTAATTTAGAGAATCCTAATTTAAAAGGAGACATGGTAGAGTAATGGATAGCGGCTCAGATTTAGGAATCGGAGAGCTGAATTCCAATTCCAGTGGAATCCATTACATTCACTTTTGTGCTAATACCCTTGGGAAAGGTATGAATCCTCCTCTTTTCTCCCCAGCTATGGGTAAATAGCAGAACAGACCAGGTGTGACGTGTGACGAAAGCAGATAGCCGAAACACGCATATATGCATATATTAGGGTTAATTTCCGCCTAGCAACAGAATAAAGATCACATGGGAGTCTTATGACATTTTGGGAAGGCAGATCAAAAGGTTGACTGACCCAATTACCCGTAGTAGCCAAATGTCTAGACAGAAGCTAGACAGAGGACGAATGTAAGCTGGAATTCGCGCCAAAACTTAAGACACGTGATAGTCAGAGATTCACTCGAGAATCAGTTGCTATCTTGACTTTGAAGAGGCAAGACCTGAAGCCAAAGCACTGATATTTTATAAACGGAAAGATAAGACGCATTTGATAGTGATGGAACTTATCCAGTTCAACCCAGGCAACTTCTGACAAGAAATATAAGAAGTATTCCTGTTCGATAACCCCAAATTGAAGACGCAGAGAAATTTATACGCTGAGGATTCACATCCTGTACATCCCTGTTGGTGTGAGTCGGGTTTGGAAACCGAACTGTCTACAGAAGAAAAAGGAAGGAAAGAAAAAGGTGAAACAAAGAGAGGAAGAAAGTGTATACCTCTGTTACAGCCGGACAGTGTCTGAAATTGTGTTTGTGTCGGGAAAAGAAAAGAAAGGACATTGATAAAAAAAAAGAGAACTGAATATAAAAGATAAGTAATCATATTTTGGACCCGTAATAGAAAGATATACATACATCCATGAATATTATGTTCTTGCAAACACCTTTCCACATGTAAAACAATAATTGTAACTCCTATCCCATCTCTTTTGTGTATGCGCTGGCTTCTGCATTAAATTCATAGTAATTCATACTTATATTTTTGTATGTTCGGGTTCAGTTGAATCCATTTGGTGTTAGGCGAATTTTGATATCCCAACGTAAGTTTTGAGATCTGGTCGTCGGATGTTTTAACTCATACTTATCTGTTCTTTTCTTTTGATATTTGTATATTTGTACATATTAAAATTCTTGTATCAAAATCGCTAAGCCTTATAGTTCATCCTTGTATTGCGGATCAGTATTCGTGTTGAAAACGAAGTAGACCTGGGAAAGATTACTGCTCAATTATCCCAATCGAACAGTGGTCTTAAAAATATTTTTGTTTACCAATTGTCCATTGTCACGATCTGAGAGAGATAGCTTGTATCTCTCCACAGGTGTGAGAATGTATATATCTCCTAGTCGGTCTATGATCGCCTTATAAACCCATTCGTCGACTGGGGTATATGACACCAGGTTCTATAGCCTTCAATGACAACTGGCTTACCACAGAAAGAAATGGCAACCTACTGTGGGAAAAAATCTACCTCGTCAGTCATATATCAAAAGATACATGATCGCCTACACATATATCATGTATGGCATATAACTGACTGAATTTAGAGATGTTTTTGTTTTTTTTTTACAAACACTACAATTTACTGTAAATCAGTCTCCAATAACTTAATGTGTATGAACATAGTATTTTTAAGTTTGTGCACATATTTTTTTAAAGAACCAGAAATTTTGTGTTTTCTCTATATTGTTGAAGAGGGAATGGGTATTTGCACTTGCCAAGGTTGATAATAATGACGGTACCTGCTTCTTGTTACGATTTGTGCAAGAAAGGTAGTTATGGTAGAGTGATTTGCCAAAAGTATTAATTCACCTACACCATCTACCATCATGACTTGCCAGTAATTGCAACAAGATTGATGTGACAGAGAGCAAGGAGAAATATATTCATGCCTTCCTTTCCTAAGGGTATTAGTGTGAAGTGAATATAAGTTGCTTTGGCCAAAATACAAACTTGATAGTATTCTACTCCACTGAAATGAGATCTCTTTCTGATTCATTCTTCCTGTCAGCCAGATGTGAAGGCAGAACGCAAAATAAAATAGTCATTTTCTGTGCATAGGCTCTGAGCATTACATCCGGTCCATGAAGCAATACCTCGCAATGAAAGCAATACAGTGGTCAATTGCTAACATTTCCACCTGAAAAAGAGATGAGCCTAGGGACTGCCAGATCTGCTTAAAAACAGGCCTCTCATAATGATCAACACAGGCATACCCTTGCAGTCACCACTACAACACTGTTTCACTGATACAACATTCAACCCGAATCCAACTGAAACATTCCATCATCAACACCAATCTCACACATTCTAACTATCAGCCTTAACCATTTACTACAGGCCTAGCCTTGCTGTCACTACCATGACCCCAATTGTTGATACAATATTCAACCTGAATCCAAATGAAATATTGTGCTTGAGTCATTACAGGCATACTTTTACTCACCACTGCAACCCCCATTTCGCTGATACAGCATTTGATCAAATCCAACTGAAACATTTCACTACAGGCCTATCAGTTACACCTAATCCCTCACTGCCATTGCCGTCAACTCATTAACCAATGCAGCCCTACACAAATCAACCCACCACCATAACCTCGATCAATCAACACATGCGTGAAACCCAATCAATGGATAAATCCACTCCGGACATATCCTGTGACCTCAGCCAAACCAACACAAGAAATCAGTCAACTATCGATGCTACCAACAATACCCTTACACCTAACTGGTTTCCTGATGATCAGCAACCAAAAACCACATTTCTTTGCAATTTTCTAACAACTGCAAATATATCATGTGTATTAAATAAATATATGCAGTTTAAAAATGTAATCCTTGTTATTCCTTTCCTTTCACAACCAAATGCTCATTGAAACAATAGCCATGATGCCCTCCATCACATTTCTGATAAACAGTAAGATTAAAAAGAAAAAGAAAAGAAAAAAATTGTTATGAGGAGTTTTGAACGTGAAGGTTAGTTTGATTTCTCGCTTTTTAGTATTCAAGCCAGGATTGATTTTGAAGACAGACAGACAGACAGGCCCACCCAAATTTGAATGATATCAATTCTACACTGTTTTCCTACATTCCACTTCTTTTTCTGAATCATATTAAGTTTGATTTCCAGCCATAAACTGTGTTCTTCTCTAAATTATTAGCTTACACTGATTATTGAAATATGATGAAATCAGGTATTTCTTAATATAGAATGGAAAATGATTGAATTTCAAAAATTAAATTAAATAAACATACACACAAACTGATGGAAGGTAAATTTATATTTGAAACTTGATATGGTGAGTGGGGCAGATAACTGAATCCACTACTAAAATTGTTTGAGGATAAAAAAAAAATGTTTTTAACAGTATTTTGGTGGGAAAATACAGTACAGTACAAAACGGGAAGACTATGCATGTCAATCTGTCTAACTAGAAAATCAGCATGAACATTCTAGCTAGCTTTTCTCGGCTTGAACATAAACATTGATCGGTGAGGGGGTACAAATTATTTCCTCAGACACAAGATGAAAAATTAAAGGAGTACTACAGACATTGAGAAAAACAGCGTCATAAAAAAAGGAAGTCTGTGATCAATTTCATAGTGAAATTAAGTAATTGCGAGTTTGAACAAATGGGTCAGCAGGTAGTAGACTTGGTGGAAACGAGACGTGCAGTAACTGAACTGTAGCAAGAAAGAACAATACGAGATACTTTCCGAGACATGGGCAGCGGGACGAGAACAATCTACTACTCGTAAATTAAATAAAGAGTTCAGTTTGAAATTCCTCGAAGGTTACCTGAAACGACAGACATCTGAAGAAGGCCGGAAAGCACAACGGCCGAAACGTTGTGAAACACTAAAATGATGACACTTACTTGTCCGAATGTAATTGATAACTTCCCATATGAGAAATTCAAACAGAAATTATGTCTGTGATCAATTTTCATAAAATAAAGAATAATTGCTAGTACTTCATAATTCAGGCCAGTAGTCATCGTCATTCAAGTCAAAGTGAATTATTTGACAAAAATTCCATATTTTTTATATCAGAAAAAAAACTACCTCATTCGATTTTCCTTGATAATAAATAATCTAGAATTATAATTTTTTCAGGCTATTTAATTTTTAAACTGTTTTTGATTTTGAAAGATAATGCAGATAAAGAAACAGATAGCTTCTGCTTAACAATAATTTTTTTAAAAATCGTAAATGATTTTTAACAAAGTGACAGGATTTATATTTATTTGCAATATGATCACCAAACTAAACACAATTTTCTCCATCATGAATAGAGAAAGACTAAGTTTTTTCATTTTTTGTTTAGAGAACTTATCGTCACGTTACTTTCCGAATTTCCTGTCAAACAAAATGTTTTTGATATTTGTCGAAATTTGAAATAACCAAAAAAAAAAAAAAATCATTTTGCACGATTTTGCCAGTCATTCATAAAAAAGAAAATAATAATCTCTATAAATTATTTTAACTTAAAAAAAATGCTAAGAGTTAAATCGCTTGAACCAACAAAACGAAGTGTAGAACTCTCATCATTTTTAAAGGCATTTTTGCTTTAAACGCGAAGGGCATCCAATAATAATTAGTCAATTAAAAATAATTTAGATTTTTTAAAATAATATCGAATTTTATTAAGTAAACCTAAATTATAGTAATTAATTTTTTAACGTGATTGCATTTTGATCTTTAAATTAGTAGTCTCTTCTTGTTGCATGATCGAGACTTACAAAAGCAGACTGTCTTTCTTTTTCTGAAATAATCATGTTCATCAAAGAAATACAGAATAGAGCAGGAAGTGTTCTTGCTTATTAAAAATGCTTTTTTTTTTCTTTGGCCAAAATAATTTATACAAACGATACATTTAATATTGTTTAAAAATCATTTTAGCCAGGAGATATAAAAATGTTTTTTTATATATATATTTAGCATATTTTTAGAACTTATTTTTAAGATGGCACGTGTGTACGGTTTTGTTTGGTTTTATTATTTTATTTCCTAGGTATCCAAAACAGATAGAAATCAGAGGAAACACTTTTTTGCAATCTAAAGGACTTACCCGTGGTGGTGGTGGTGGAGGGAACCCCGAGCTTCGAGGTCCGACGGGTCTCCCCCTATAAGCCATTGCATAGATTTTAAGGACTTGATAGAGAGACTATCAAGTTGAACAGTTACCCGGCATTTTAGTATTTTTAATTGAAAGTAAAGCGGTGACGACTGAACAAAGTCAAAAACCAAAATCATTTCCGCCGCATCTAGCTCATTTTTTGTTTTAGTTATTTCAATTACAACTTCATTTTTTTTTTTTTTAAGCGAAAGGTCACTAGTGGAAAAAAGGATTTTTAAGCATTTAATCGATAGTTTTTATCATATTAATTATTAACAGAAAATTTGGCGAGCTCTTAAAAATCGACAACAGTTAGTAGTTTTTTAAGTAGTTAAATTTTTCCAATTTTTATTTTTATTGCTCATTCTGTTTTGACACAATTGGAATTCTGCTTGCTGTTTTACATAAATTATTCGACAAAAAAAGCGTGTTTTTGACAAAAATGACTTTTTAGGGTTTTTTTTTTGTTTGAATACTAAAGCTTTCTTTAGTCTATATTTCATTTATTCAAAGAAATAGTTATTCTATAATATTTTGTTTATAGGCTATTTAAGTAAATTTCTAAAATTACAATTCGAAAATGATAATATTCGCAGATAAAAAAAAAATACGAAGTGGTTGAATAGTGATGTAATTTATATCGTCAAACGGTGTAAAACAGAGTTAGTTCCCTTGTTTATTCAGGGTCTTTGCTAAATTACCAAAATTATTCTAAAGAAAGGACATTTCGTCATTATCCATTTGTAGGTTTTATGAGTTGATCAATTAATTACATATTCACAGACATGGTAAGTGAACTTTTAATGAATAAAGCCATTAATTGTAAGAAGAATGAATACACATTACCAACCATCTCAAAATAGTTGATTTAAAAACACACATTTTTCTTTGATGTTTAGTTTGCTTTTTTTGTACATTTATTTTTCAGATTCTAACACATTTAGTACAATTACATTCAAATAAAGTATGAAAAATGTATTCTGATATAAAAGTTATGGTTAATAATTGTATTATGTAGCTACCTGTCCTGTGCTTAATAAAATCGAAATCTTTTTTTTTTTTAATATTTACTTAGTTTGAAAGGGGCAGTTGGAAACGAACACTTAAGGTCTCTACTCTTCAAGAGAGTAAAATTCAAAGAATCTTATTAAAATCTTAATTCAAACTTTGTTTTTTTTTGTAACAAAAGAAAGAACAATAATATTCACTCATTACCAATAACTTTTTTTAATTAACAATAACATCTTTTAAAATGTATTTTATTGGTTTTTTCCTAATTTCTGTAAAATCGTTTTTGTTTTTTTTTTAACAAAAATAACAGGTGATTTTTTTTTTCAAATGATGTTGATTTTTTTCCAGTTAAAAAAATGTAGGTAACAAACGCACTTTGTAGGAGTACTCTGTAGAACCTATGAAAAATAGAATTTTTAATTAATTTTTAAAACAAACTTGAACATTTATTTGAAAATATTGTGTAATAATACTAGAGTTCTGATAGACTTGAAATAAAATTCAACTTTCACTCAATTATCTCAAGCAAGTACAACTGCTAAAAAAACGGTCTGTCAGAAACTTTCAATAGCACACTTTAGGCCAAAATGACAACCTGCTGGATTTGATCCCGTTACTAAGAAATGTGAACTCGCGTGACTTAAATTACGATATAAATTATACGTTGAGCATGTTTTTTTTTTTTAATTTGTGTCACTGCTAGTTTACACAAATATTGAAATTATACTTTTTTAAGATTTTTGTTGTGAGTAACCCCTGTGTTCCATGAATGTGGGTGCTTTTGTGTCAAAACAAAAGTTCGTAGCTTTTTTAAGTGAATTTCAAAGCCAATGATATTATTAATTTTTACATAGTTTTCCATTTAGTTATTCAACCTCATGTGTGTCATTTTCTTCCACTACATTTTGCCATCTCTGAGGCAACATCATTATTCCATCTTCCAAGAACTTGGCATATTTATGGATGATGAACTGGTCTAATTCGTTTTTACAGGTTTCCAGAGAATTGATGTTCTTCCCATTGAGAATATTTTGTACGGATCAAAATAAGTGGTACTCCAAAGGTACATATTCAGTGAATACAGCAGGTGTAGTAGAACATCTCAGCAAAGCTGTAACAGTTTCTGCCAGGTCTACAAAGAGACATGAGGTCTTGATAGAAGACAGCACTCTTCCAGTTGGCCAATTCTGATGCATTTTGTCAATTGCTGCTTCTAATCGGTCCAACTGGGAAGAGTACTTGTCTGAACTCAACGTCTGTTTTTGCAGAAGGAGCTCGTAATGCACATTGTCCTTCCAATCGTACCAGATACATAGCATTATCATGTTCAGATGCAGACCGGCTTCTTAGTGGTTAACAGTGGCTCATTTCCCAAGGATCTTTTGTGGTGAACACGCATTAGTACAGATGCAAAAGAGGCCACAGATCACATGTAGACATGTCTGTCAAAACCAGTTACATCCTAGGTTTTCCCCCATTAGTGGCAGAACACCTTGGCATGTTCAGATATGGATCTCTGCAACTTGTCTATATACAGGTTTCTGTCAACTGTCTCCTGTCAATAAAAGTGACAAGAGAACCAGCAGTTGGCAAGATTCTGTGTCTTGTGAAGTCGATCCCATGTGCATTTTATTTCTAAAGTAGCTACGGCTTCTGAGGGAGGGTCATTTTTTTACCTCCAGTTTCTTTCCTTTCTGTACCTGTTACCCCTCCCCATAGCAATTAGGAGAGTTATCAGTTAGATGTTTATCTCAATCTCAGTACACTCTTACAATAATTTTCATTTTATTACAGTAGTTTACGACACCTTTTACATGCCACATCATTGTAAACAATTCATTTTTCATCACCTGTTATTGTTCTTTACAAAAATGGGTCATTCTTTTTTTTTGCTGCATTTAAGCAGAGAACCACTGATAGAAATGCAGTTTATTATATTTTCTTACATTAAATCATAAAGCATCCAAACGTTGTGATTCACATCTCGAAGTATTTTACATACCTTACAGCTCACCTGAGATATGTTGAATGTTTCTGTGATGTTGTGTGTCATGTGACCTTGATTATTTTTAATCAGTATTTTATTTTGATCATCACCAACTGCAGGCCTACTGGAATATTCTTGATCTTCCAGATCAAAATTTCCACTTACAAGCACCATCTCTATAAACAGCACACATCTTTTTTTACTGTTTATACAGCGTTTTTTTTTCCTTTCCAGTGTTGCATTGTGGAGTGAGTAACCATGGTTAAATGCAAAATAAGTAACAGAACTGTCCAACAAATTGTATTGACAAAGTTTGCAATAACATGAAAAAGAAAAGAATACATTTTTTCACTATGAAAAGTCACCGAGAAAAAGATGGATTCTTTCAAATCTCACGCTGCCTGTAATTATTGTCAGAGGACGATAATCCAACACCAGAAATAAAAAGAGCATCAAATGATGAAAATATACTTCATTTTTATGCATATTCACTTTTAGCATAAAAACATTTAAAATTCACAATTCATTCACATCTTGAAATGTCACCTTTCAGAATGTGTATATATGTCATAAATTTCAGTCATTTGGGAAATGAAATCTAATGTTCAAATGGTACCTGTTGAAAAACATTAGAAAATGTTGCTTTCAACCCAATATTTTCAAGCCTTATGGGTGGCCTAGTATTTATGACAACAGCAAGCATAACTGAAATACTGTCATCAATCCTAGGGTTGCAAGATTTCCTAAATAAAAATGCAGGTTAACACCCTGTTTAAATTTAACACCCTGTTTAAATTTAAATGAATTCAAATTTTCATATGCATATGTCCATTGAGATTAAATTTATTTTTTCTTTTGATAAAAATTACTGCATGAAATAAATTAATATACTAAAAAATATTGGTAATACGTTCACTGAATTAGACTTAAAATTTAATCAGGTTAACCTTCTCATCAAAACATCAACTTCTTCTTCATTTAAAATACAAAAGATTATATGAACACAAAAAGGATATTTTGCAAAACAACACACTAAATACATTAGTTGCTCACTATAATTAGACTAGCAACAATTTTGATTTAAAAAATGCTACACTAATTAAAAGAAAAAAATTTGCTAAGATGAAAATGTTTAGAAAGTGCTTTAATTGCTAGGTCATCTACAGTAAATTTGCATCCAGGTTCTTACGTTTCACTATTCTTTCCACATCTATTATCCTAATGTATGATATTTACTAACAAAAGTGATGGTAACATATGCAAAAAGAAAAACACTCTAAATGAAATCAGCTAGATTATATACCTCAAAACATATAATAAAAAAAAAAAATTAATTAAAAATTTTCAGTGTCTCCTTTCCTTTCTGTGCATGTGTAGTTACATCAACATAAATATCAGTTTAGTCTGATGAAGCCCTAAAGGTTGAAACATGTCACACAAAAAACTTTTTCCACTTTGTCATACATTTTTCACCCTAAAATGTAAGTATTTAAATTGCATACCTTCGGTAATTGTTCACAAATGACTTGTGAGAGGTAAGTAATATCTGAACAATTATTGAAGATATGTAATTAAAATACTTATATTTATATACTTATTACTTTTGTAAAATTAGCTTATAAAATTTCTTGCACTTTGTAACACTGTATATTCCATTTGTATTGTAACAGCTTTGACTGAGGTCAATAGGAAAAAAATCATTTAATACAAGATGCATGATAACCTTATTCCTGAATTTTTATACTATTGTTCACCCAAATACAAGGCCCAAAAGTCCCTCAAGATAGAGGGTTACAGAATGAGGTTGTTGTAAGTGTGTAGACAGAGAAAGTAAGACAAGCATATTATGAGGATATGTAGGATAGATAACGGTTAACTTTAAGGTCACAGAGATTGTCAAAGCATCCTTTCAGGACTCTGTTCTTTCCACAATGTAACAATTATGAAGAAGAAGCTGTCTGAATGGAACTTCCTGCTTATCAATGAAAGACAAAGATGTAAACTGGTTGGTAACAATAACACTGGTACCTTCTCTCTTGTGAGGATTGATGCAGAGAATCTATTTCAAATCCATGCTGCATCAATTCCAACACTGCAATCTGCCATGCTAGACCCCTTCTCCCCACTATCTATTGGCCTGTCTATTTATCTACCTCAGAACCCACACAGCTTTTTGTATGTCCAGGTGCCTGAATCAAACCACGCATCCCACATCATGCTTAAAATGTATTTTCTGCATTCGGAAAGATGCGAGTTTGATCCAGGTAGACAAGACACAACTGAGTTCTCTTCCTCTGCTGAACTGGTAAGTTATTATTCCCACTACACTTACCCACTGATCTTATTACCATCACACAAACTGCAGGGCAGGCATGGCCTCTTGTTGGGGGCACTCCTCTGGACAGGGGGTCAGGCTCGGCCTCTTCTTCAGAAATCACTTGGAAGGGGAATATGCAGTGTTTATCTCAGTAGTCAGGTTTGCACTAGTGTGGACAAAAATTAATTCGCTCTCAGCTGACACATCACTATTGTCACTTTGGAGTTGTGTCAAGGGCAGGACAGAGATCCTTTACGTGGTGCAGACCATGACAAAGTGTTGGCTGATAATGCCGGTGACACTTCCCTTCTTGTAACTTGTGGTACATTGACTATTGAAGGGTTTCACCCAGACAGAATCCCCCACTTCATATGATGCACGAACTTATGCTGTCAATCCCTTATAGTTGGACTTGATATACATGAACATATTAGCTGGTTCTGATTGGGATGTCTCATTGTCACTTGGTGTGG